TCTATCGCTAATAAGAATTTTTTTAAAATGAAATATAAATTAACTATTTCACATAAAAATAGTTGTTAAAGTATAGGTAAGTTTTAGAATTTGCTAACATCCAGGAAGCTTGCTTGAAAACTCATAATTTGTAGCCTTCTTGAGAATAGATTTAGAAAAAGTATGTTCTTTTTTTTTGAAGCCCCATTTATCATTATGTGCTACTATTTTGATTGAGCTTTACATGTTTCTGCAAAAATAGGAATGTGGCTAATGGCATTTAACTTCAAAATCTTTTTCAGATTTCCCACTTACTTTAATGTTACTGCAATTACTTCGAAGCTTCTAACTGTGGTACCGATGCTATCACTTTCCACATTATTATGAAATTTATGAAATTTCTACTGTCAAGTATTTATTCCAGATTCTATTTTTAGTACTTAGTGAATCAGTTAATAATTTGGAAATTTCATCGAGTCCAAATTGCCATAATGATTTTATTTTGCTCGTCTTAAATTTTTAAAAACAATTCCTCGCTTTTTATAAATGAATTTCGTCCTTCTTTTGAGTATTTGTTATTTTTCATATTTGTATACTTTTGCACATAAATATATATATATATATATATTTATATTTTCTGGCTAAATATTTATTTATTTAATTGAAAACCAACCAATCAGGATGGCAAGCGCCCTGTGCCTATGTTAATAACAATAGATAAAATAAAGAAAATTAGTGATAAAAAAAAGAAAATATGACAAAAACTAACAATGTAAAGAGGAAACAAAGAGAAGTTACAAAATAGCACAGTTCGAAGTGAATGTATTATTTATATATAATCAAATGGTAAAAATCAAGGTTTCAAACTTCTTGCATAATGTGAACTTTCCAAATAATATCATTTATGATAAATAATATTATTTAAATAATATTTGATATCATTTACGATAAATAATATCATTTAAATAATCATAAATGATATTGTCCAATCTTTTTTTAAAAATAGCTGAGGATGAACACACAAACTACATCGTTCGGAAATTTTCCAGTAATTAATAGTACGAATAAAGAAGCAATGAGTCCTTAATTTAGTTTAGTTTTGCATATAGGTTTTAGTAGTTTTAGATCATCAAATCTTGTTGAAATCAAATTTAACCTAAAATTGTAACATTTGGAACTATCTAATTTAACATAACCATATAAAATTTTATAAGTATGAATTAAATCTTGATTCTAATTCGACGGATTGAGAAGGAATCCAGATTTTATAGTTGTATAGTTATTATAGTTTGTAGTTATATGATTTTTATAAGGAGAGAGGCGACTTATAAAATATTTCTGAAGTCCTTCAATTTATTTTACACAATTCTCAGGGAGTAGCAAGTAGTATTTCACTTAAGAAAAGGCCAAACGGCTGTACATTTTGACAAGAAAACCTTCATTTTGATAAAAAAAATGATAAGAAAATTCTGTTCTTAAACAAGCGAAAACAAAATTTATCAAAATTTAACAAAATTTAGTATCTCGAGGATTTCTTTACTATGGTTCTGTAGAGAAGATTAAAATCAAGATTTTCATCCATGATTATGCCAAGATCTGAAATATGATCTGATTAACTGATTATATTGCCATTGATAAAAAGATTAGAAAGATCGAATCCTTCCAAATTTATATGTAAAACGTTGTGCTTTTGAAAAGAAAGGGTGATTTGCCTGTTATGCAGCCAATTAGCAATTGGAATGAGATCATCCTTTAGTGGAGACAGGTTATCCGATCCTACCATGATTTTACAATTATCAGCCCAAAGATAAATGGTAGTGTCAAAAACCATTTTGGTGATATCATTAATATATAATTAAAAAAGCAATGACGCAATTCAACTATTTTGAGGAACGCCTGATTTATCAGGTGTCATGTCAGAAAGAATATTGTTGACACATATAGCCTGATGACGATCTTTTATGTAGTCTGACACTCAGATATACAGGTCCCTTGTAATGCCATAACTGTTATGAGTGATCAACAAAGTGCTATGGGAAGCAGTATCAAAAGCTTTGGCCAAATCTAGGTACACAACTGATACTGTTTGAAAAACTTCCATTGTAAGTTGAGGCTGACCAATGGAAAAAATTTGCCGGTATTTGTGAAGAAGTAGATTTTTTCTTGCAAAAACCATGCTGAGGTGGATATTAAATTATTGGCATCAAGATAAGTTTTTTTTGATAAGAAATTCTAAAAACTGATTGTAAATATTACGTACTGACAGTAATTTTCTGGTAACCAATTCTTTCTCAAATTCCATGTGTCGAGAAAATTTTCGTTATTTAATTTGATTTTAGCACCATATTTCGCTTAAGTTTTTTAAGTTTAGAAAAGTTTTGGTGAATAGCAATAATAATATTGCCAGTTTTAAATTTGTGAAATTTGTGAAATCCCAAGAAAGACAGCAATTGAAGTAAGAACTTGGCTGCTAATCTGAACTAATTTAGTATAAAATTATTCATTTATTTTAGCATGAAAAAAAATTGAGCAAGCAGATAAGAAATCTTATTTCTTACAGTCTATTAGAGAATGGACAGTTTTCCCAAGATTTTTTAATGGATTTGAGGATTATCCAGCAATTTGCATTGATTTTGTCTTATTATTGTTACTGCGCAACAAAAAAATCATTTGATTGTCGATTGATCGCTGTTTTTCCTTTCTAACGATTAACGGTTTCTAAGATTTTTTAATCCCATAAAAGTTAACCAAAATTTTTTTCATGATTTCAAGTTCCATAATATTGAGCCGCCCACTGTTAAAGACATTGTAAAATTGTTTAAAAAGTCAATGTCTGTGAAATATCATAGATTTAATCCAGAGTTAAACCGAAAATCATATTCATTCAATGCATTGATTATTGTGGAAATCGTAAGTAATTTGATTCCCGTTAGCTCAAATAGTTTTCTGTGCTTCATTTGAGTGACTTTGAAAGTTAAAACAGGATGGTGGAGCGTTATTTCGATTATGCTTAGGCAAAAGTTTTTTTTTTCTCTCATAAATAAATGCCGTTACTAAAAGTGAAATCTGGACGATGTTGGGAATCCAATTGTAATTGTAAGTCCATTTCGAAAAAAAACGATTCTTTGAAGAAAGGGTCTTATACTAGTTAGTCGTCAGTTAGCCAAACGAAAATATATGGTTATCTAACATGATAATATTGCGCTTAAATTTTATCTCATCAGGATTTATTGACAATGGTTTTATCTAATTTCATCTCGATTTCATCTTCTCAGGGCTTATTATCCTCGAGAAAGATTAATGAGTCTTGAATTTTTCATAGGCCAACCTTTGCTTTCCATGCTTCTTAATGTTGTACCATTTTCCTTTGTCAACTTTTTGTCATTCGAATAATCCAAATTAGCTACTCACTCACAAATCGTTATGAACCGCGCCCATTAAAAGTGCGAAAGACCTTCTAAGACCTTCTAACCACATTCCTTTTATATTGCTTACTATTTGCCATGTTGATAAAAAATTTTTGGAAATGAAACCAATTTAATCCTGAAAATGAAAAATAATAAATTAAATATTTAGTTTTAAGCTATATTCGCCATTCCACACTTAATTTGAATCTATCGAAATTTGAACTTTTTCATTTTTCGCTTGTATTTGGCGATATTAGGCTGGAATAATCATTTTATCCAACAACAAATGGAGAAAAATGCTTCTCAATATCTATTTTATAAAATTTTAAAATTTTAAATGTAAAATTTTGTTTACCAAAGTCCCACAATATTATTTCCCATTAATCCTTTGTTATTTTTTCTTTTCCTTTTATAAAAAGCCTAAGAATTATAGAACTGATAAAACTAGCTACTAGCATGTGCTTTAAGTCATACCTTAGATTGAAATTAAATAATATCGATTCAAGAAAAACATGGCTAAATTAGTTAATATTTTAGGCACTTAATTCTTATTTCTGTATGGCATTCGTTAAATATTTCCAGAGATATTGAAGTTAACCTGAAAATCTAAGTAGCAACCATTAATTACTTACTTCCAATAGCAACGAAATGAAAAATTTTCAAGAAACCAAAATTAATTTTCTATGCCGCAGTGCAACCAAAGGAGCCGAAGGAAGAATTAAGTTGAGGAGAAGATTGAGTTTCAAACAAATGAATTTTGATACTGGAGTGAATTGCCTGAATAAATTTGATTTATTAGTAGACCCGTGAATAAGGCGAATGAGAATAACTAATTGGTACATGGACACTTGATAGATGTCATTAAAGTTGGAGGCGATGATATTAATGAATATAGTGATGTCAAGTTGATTTGTACCCACCTGGTTGAGGTGCACTATATCATATCTGACGAATTATTCATAGAATTATTTATTTTTTAAAAATCTATGCAAAAAACAATCAGTATTTTAGTTAATATATTTTGGAATCTTATCTAATGTTGAAGATGAGGGAAGAAAAAATTGATTAAATACGACCCCACTGTTTGTGTCTCAAATCTCAAATCATTTGCCTGTATATTTTGATATTAAGAAATGATATGCTATTTTGCGTGGCTGCATGTCTTCCCATCAGCAGAGTACTTTTGCTCCTAAGTGGTTTTGTAGTGAGAAAGTTATTGTAATACTTCGAGTCACTTAAAAAAAAGTGACAGTGTTAGAAGAAAAATGGTATCCAATGTATTTAGCGCGCCAATTAACACCTTAATTTTTCTCTAAAAACTGAATTTCTCAAATTTGTCAATTCTTGACAAAATATTAGACTTAAAGCCAACTGTTCGAAATTCGGTAAATGACGTCAGAAATTTTTGGATTTGCAGCCTTTTTTTGAATAAACTCACATTTACTTCTAACACAATGATAATAAAAGTTGGCCATATAAACTTGATGCTTATTTCTGTTTTTTGGCGACTCAGTTTAAGGCTGATATTTAAAATTTTCTATAGTATTTCATTTACGCGAAATGCCGAAGTATTGAGCTCGTATCGGTGAATATTGTTAAACTTTTATTTATAGGATGGGTAATCGAGAATCAAATAGCTCACTCGCTTCATCAAAACGATTAGTAGCGAAGCGAAGTCAGTCTCCATCACCAGGTAAGATTAATAACATCATGCGCACTAGAAGTGGATCAATTGCACATACAAGCAGGTTCGTCTATCATTTGTAACATACACCATTATATTAATCTTGATAATAATTTTTAAATTTATTAATGGTTATGTCCTAATTAAAATATTCGCCGATTCGAAAAAAAATGTAATTCGTAAAGTGAATATTTGTAAAATGTGTAAATTTTGGTCGAAATAAACATTGTTCAATAAGATTCCATTGAATTTGGACAGCGTTAATGAAATAAATTGGCAGACCATTACTGTTGTACACAACAACCTTCCAATTGAACATATTAGCTACTCTCAGCACTTTCTGGCTTCACTTTCTGGTTACGCTTTTTAGCAAACAGTCAGAGAAGGATTGCAAATGGCCGCCAAACATTATTTGGGTTTTTAAATAACAATTTAATTTACTTTTTTCCGAGGCAAAGACTTGGAAACATCGATCAATGTGAACAAGAACGACTCTTCTAAATGAGTTCCTCAATGTGGGAAAGATAGGCTTTCCTACTGGTTTTAACATGACGCTTCCTTTTCTTGTAATAAAGTAGTTGAAGACATCTAGAAAGCCTTAAGATTACACTGAATTTGAATGCCCACGACCAACGATCAATTGCACTCACTTATGCTACTTCTTCATTGTTCGAATGTAGCAAATAAATAGTTCAAAAAATAATTCTGAATAGGAAATCACAGATTAAAAACTTTATTTATGCCGAAACTCCTTGAAGATTTCAGTGGAATAGCTATTACTGAACATATTACTGGAACCTTCTAAAATTCTCATTGAATGAGTTAGAGAATTGACAAAATAGCTCGAAAATTGAATTAAAAATCTAGTTCAAAGACTTTAGCACTAGATTATAAAATAAAACAGCAAAAAAGGGGTTCGGCTTAGTTTTAAATAATCTAACCGGGCTTACTATCACTGTCAAACAGCCACTTAAGACGGAAATCGTCATTTGAATGAATATTAGATGTTGCTTAAGTCGTGTCTATTTAAGCTCTCTGGATATGATAAAATTACCGAAATATTAGTTATATATCAGATATATCTAAATGAATAATATAAATAAATAAACTCTAGAGAATTCGCTAATATCAGAAATCAATAAACAATTTTAATTTAGCAAATTTTACAGTTCTCGAAAACTTTCAAGTTTTCGTAAAGACGATATTTCCGACTCACCACCATTGGTTGTAATCAACAGAAATCAAAGCAAATCTTTTCGATCGACATCAACTGCTAATACACGGTGAACTGTGTAATACTAATCAAATCTATTGTGGTTTTTAGGAACTTATAATAATGATTTTGTAGATATCCCAATGTTAACACTGATGATCATCGAAAATCAGATATTTGCGCTACTACTGGTTTGAGCTGTCAACAAAAAGCTGTTCTTGCATCGATGTGGCGCCAGTTGCCCAGAAGCCTCGTATTTAATCTCGGAAAACGCGTGTTCGAAACAATTTTTGAAAGAGATCCAAATCTGATTATAGTTATTGGTCTTGATATTCGTAAAGATTCAACAAATTGGCGAGAACATGTAAATTTTCGAATGCATGCACAAGTATGTTAAATCTCCAGTAGTTTGCAAAAACGTAAAATATGCAAAAATTATGGAAGGAATCCAAGAATGAAATTATGAATTAGTCTAAAATTTTAATGTTTTGTGGCTTAAAAAATTCTTGCAACTATTATTTAAATAATTTCGACCTGAAAAATAATTCCAACAAGGATTCCAAAAATTATGCCTCTTATTGCGATTAAGCAATTTACAAAATTAGCAAAACAGATTATCGCCTAGAGCATCAACGTTTGAGGCAGAAGTAAATTGATTATTATAAAATTTGGTTGGTGGTGCGAGCATGTATTTTTGTCTCCAAATGATTTCCTGACGAAAATTTTTCACAGTACTAACAACAATCCGCGAAGCAATACTCATTTTACAACTATCACCATTACTGGTTAGGCTGACTCCTGTTGGAGTGAGATTCGAGGGAGAATGAATTGACGGTGCTCAGTATAAGAGGTATAAGAGGTCGGTCGGATAGACAAAACTTCACTCGGAAGGGATGCGGTTTTTCAGTTGTTGTTCTAATGGTTGCCGTTTGTACCCAAGCAGACTAAGAATTTTTATTGTAACATAAATTATAAACAATTAAGTTTAAGATAAATATTAAAGGGTTTATACAAAAGAAAAACAAATAAGAGAAAAACGGAGTTTCTCTCACATAAACAAATCAAACATTTTAAAAACAATTCTAACAATTAAAAAATTTTTGAATTGAGTCTATTCTAAAAGCATATTTATATTATTTTCATTTGCAAAAAAACCTTTTAGTAAGAATAGCATGCAGCACATAATTAACAGATTTATATTACAAAAACTATAGTTATTTGATTATGTCTTAATAGATTGAGATTTTTTATGCTAAATCAGTTTTTTTGGGTATACAAAAAAGGAAATGGAATTCAATATTAGTAAGGTGATTCATAACATTTATTTGAGGAATTTATTTTATTGTACATTTTTTTGCGATAACTCCTATAAGACGTCTCCAAGCTACATGATCTGATTCCATCTGTGATAGTGATAGAAACCATTTCTTTGTCCATCGTCCAAGTCTATATATCGCTGGTCCTCCTATACATTCAAAATCTTTCCTGACTATATCAATCCAGGTCTTAATTGGCCCTCCTCGCTTTCGACGCCAACCATCACACGGTTTAGCAAGTAACGAAATATGTGTCAACTTCTTTGGTAGATGACGGAGAACGTACCCTAACTAGCGAAGGTGATGCTCTCTGATAACATTATTTATGCAAGTCGTATTGAACGAAGATGGATGCGATCATGTGATATGATATTTTATCGGCTCGGCGGATCCGTAAAATGTATCGTAGATATAAGTGGTCAACGACTAATAGCTTCTTAATATTTTCCACTCTCATTGGCCATATAGCAAGATCGAGCGAATTGTAGCTATATGAATGAGGGTTTTCGCTTTCATGGTGATTTCGTGACGTTAGAGGTTTCATCAACCAGAAAAACATTTCTAGCTATCGTTAGCCGGTTTACAATTTCATCCTTTGCCTGGCTATTTGGGGCTAGAGTGGATGCAATGTATTTAAAGTCCATCAATTCCTCAACCGGTAATGAATTGGTAAAAAAAGGCATTTCAGCATATATAAGACGAATTTCGTTTTATTTACGTTGATTTTGAGCCCAGTTCTCGCTGGAGTTGTTGGCACACTGTTTAACATCATTTTGCATTCATTATAAGTTTGCAAAAAGGACTAGATCATCAGCATATTCATGGTCTGTGACAATGTGCTCTGAACTGATTTGCACGCCTCTTGAGTGCAGTCAAGTGATGCCCATTATCCAATCTATCGCGTAGTTGAATATTGTATAGGAAAGGACGCAGCCTTGACAGACACCAGTTTCGAAGGAGTCTGTCAGTTCCTTATATACACAGACGTGTGCCAGGATATGCCGATAAAATGCCTTTATAAGCCGAATGATCTTTTCTGGGACACCGTCATATTCCATCACTTTCCAGAGCGCTATTCCATCAATCGAAGGCAGTTGCAAAATCGACAAAACAAGTGACGGTGGGTTGCTGATATTTGAAACGATCTTCCAGCACCCTTCTTAAGTTAAATATCAGGTCAACACAACCACGTCTTGGTCTGAATCCAGCTTGGTTAGGACGCTATCTCCTGTTGCCATGAGTATTTAGTAGAAAGGAAACGAAAATTTTTCCTATTATCTTTCTTAGGAATTGGAAGCAGAATTGTTTTGCTCCAGTCTTCTGGTATATTTTTTTTCTACCATACCAGAGACATTTTGTTGAAGGTGAGTCCGATGCCAAAAGCATATATTAGTAGCAACAAAGAGTTCAAGCTGTTCGGCAAAGCGAAGAAGACGTTCTCTATTGCTGCACTGGACCCCGATGCCAATTTGCCAATTACCGAATTCATCGTAACGGCATCATTATCTACACGCGTATTCCAGTCTATCCCGATTATAACCATGTCATGTTTCGGTAGAGACTTTATTAGCGGTTGAAGTTCCACATAGAACATATCCTTATCGCTTTCATCTGCGCGTAAATTTGGAGCATATAGATGAACGAGCAGAACTTTCCCTTGAAACACGCTTAGGCCATACGATCATTTACTGGCTTCCATTCAATCAAAGCGGATCGAGCCTTTTCAGACGTGACAATCGCTACGCCATTTCGCCCCGAATTATTCGAGACACTACTGTGATATAGCCAATATCTTTGCTGAGAACCAGGTTTAATAATTACTCGAGAACTGACATGAGGAAGACGGACTTCTGACAAACAAGCTACATCCATGCGGTATTTAGAAAAGAGGCGGACAGTGGTCTGTTGACTTGCAGCATCCATAAGCGTTCCGACGATGCCAAGCAGCTATAACCAGTATTTCACTGCGCTTATAATGTGTTAGCGGATAGGTTCTCGCCATTGGCATAACACTGTGAAATAAATAATAATAAATAATAAATTTAAATAAATGTTTTCTTCACAGGTTCAATTTTTGCACCTTTCATAAATATCGATAACCATTTTTGAGCACTCTTTCGATAGCTTCATATATTTTATCTCTCATTTTTTAAAAGATTTTAATTACATTCCATTAAGTCTTAGAAGATTTGCATTTGCACAAAAAGGAAGATTTGTAAAAATTCATATTCTCAAAATTATCGATTACGACCAGCAAGATTAAATTAGTCACAAAAGACACAAAAGCCAATTTATTCATTTCGAAATGAAAGACTTGAAAAAACTATAAAAATATAGAATATAGTAAAACTAAAAATAGTAAAAGTTTAAAATATTCAGGCGAATAAAATTTTTTAAAAAAAGATCTCTCGAAAAAATTTTTATTCATTAAACACAAATAAATTACATCGCCACTGTAATGAAATTACTACTCTAATCTTTTTTCAATAATCAATTGCAAGAATTAGTTTCATCATTTTTCCATGGTACGCACCAACTTTTCACCACACCTTTTCATAGTGAACAAAGGTTTTACGATAGACGAAATAATACAGAGCTCAGAGATCAGTAACTTGTTTTGGAGACAGAGATGGTGCTCGGAACCCATCTGTAATAGTTACTTGAATAATGCCTAGCGAGAAGATCATATAATAATAATTAATGACAACCAAGCCAAAAATGGTGAATACTTCCTGCAAAAAATAAATTAATAAAATTAATGATTGGAAACAGTGGGATGATGCTCGCCTGCCACGCGTTAGTTACATTAGAATAATTTTGATCCTACTGCTTTCTCAGGACAGTAGAATAAACACTGATTAACGAACGTATTAATAAAAATCTTTAAAAATCTTTATTCCATTACCCCAAACTTCTGCGATTAAACCAATTAATATATAGAAAAAATATCTAAAAAAACAATATTCATACAAATTAAATTCGGAGACTAAAAGGATAACTATGGCAAAACTAATAAGGAATAATTAAAGAATTAAAGCATGTAAAATAACAAAATAAATTGAATATTGAAATATTGGGACCCAAATACTCAGGTCCCTTGATGCAACAAAATAACAGTTTTCTTGAAAAGGATATCCTTTATATCAAATGGACTGACTTATGGACTGACTTCTATTCTTTATTGGCATATGTGAAGATAAGGAATGAATTGAAAGGCTTCATTTGGTGGCTCAGGGCCACTATTAAATAATAAATTTAAATAACAAATAATAATAAATTAATAACAAATAATAATAAATAATAAATTTAAAAAATAGGAAGATCGCAAAGATCGCATTTCGCGACACTTCCAGAAGTTTTAGAAATGTCTAAAAGCAACAATTAGAAAAGATAATTTAATCTCCATGATCTTTTTTTTAGCGCTTCACGCATACTTTGTCGCAATGTATTAGAAATCTTTTTGAGCCAATTGTTGCTGCTGATCGACTTCAGGAATTCGGCGCATCTTATGCGGAAATGGAAGGTAATGATGGTTGCCAAGAAAATAATCGTATTCCGCTTAGTTACTGGGATCGTCTTTCTGTTGCGATCACTTCTACAGCTAATGAATTTTTAGAAAATCAAACGACAACAGGTTTGCAATAATATTCATAAAAATGTAATAAAATTGTACAAAACTGACAAAATAAATATATGGTGATATTTTAAGTTCTTAGCGTTGTCCCGTGAGTTCTTTTGGCAATTATCGTATGTTTTGCAATATTATTATTTTTGAATATGCAAAATATGAAGCAAATAGGGATAGTGGAGTGGAAAAGGAATACCATATGAAATTATCTATTCAGAGTCACAGATATTGCCAATAAGTGACTTGTTACTTCTTAAATTCGTAAGTGAATTAAATCCTGAATTTCAATTGGAGGCCATCAAAATTTTGCGGTTATCTACGAGGTTACCCGAGAACCTACAAGTAATTCACATTTTCAGGTTAAGAGATCGTGAAATATAATAATAAAAATAATAATATGATAGTACTAATAAATATTGATGATTATAATAATAGTAAAAATAGTAAATAAAAAACAACCTCTACTTAGTTAATTTTCTAGGCCGAGTGAGACGTATTTCTCTTGCAGTTGTCGAAGACGCTTCTCACACCAAAAAACTAAGTTTGCAAGTAATCTCTATCAGTTGATCTCTAACAGTTATTCAAGTCAATTGATAATTTAGCTTACCCTAACTGCAGTTAGTAATTCTTTGCCAAAATCTTGTTTTTTATTCATTACTTTCTAGGGGGAAACGAGAAATGTATGTACTTGGAATACACTCGCATTATTTGTTGCTAACCAAATACGGTTTGGCTATGAAATGGAACGTATGCTTAGAACCGAAGTAAGAAAACTTCGCTTGAACCATATGAAAAAATCAGTTTGATAATCTCTATAAATTTCATTTTGTGGATGTTGCAAACAATATATACGTCCAAAAACTGCTATTGTTTAAAGCATATAAGCAAGCAAGCATATAAAGCATAAGCATATTGCTTATTGTCTGTACAAATAATTTTTTGAAGCTCGAGCTAATAGGTTATATCCAGGCCTTTATATCTAGATGCTTTGTCGTATAGTTGAATAAAGTGTTTACTTGATAACTGCAGCTAGCTGATGGTTTTGTCGATGTTTTCCATAGTTTTAAACAATGGTTCTAGCAGCATCAATTTTAGATTTTATTTAATTCCTTCATTTCCCATATGAGAGAAAGCCTCATTTATCAAAGTGTTAGACGTTTAATCGAAAAAGCAAATTGCTAAATTGAAGTAGTTGACCAATTTTGTATAACATACCTTCAATAGTGAAGCCAGTTTTTAATGGCTTTCTCAACTTTGAAGCGCTGTCTTATACAATAAAGCCAGAAATATTTTAACGACGGCTAATGTATAATGCATATCTATTACTGTAGAATGACCGTTGCATGGAAATAAAGCAAATTATTTTTATTTGGTATAAATAGTTCGATGAACCATTATGTATTGCTTTTTTTTTATATTTTTGATGTAAATCAGATAAATCGATTGCCATGTACCATAGGATCAATAAAAGTGCAGCCTGCTTCCGCCATGAATGAATAATGAGTCTCCCATAAGCCATAAACCGTTTGTTGTCCAGGTCCAAGAGTTAACCTAAGATATTTTGTATATACTAATGTATACATTTAATTTTGCGGAATTTTCGTCAATTACACAATATATTCTTTATAATGATGAGTACTTTGTTCTCTGAATATGCTCTACTAATTACTTATTTGCAAAAAATCGTTTAAATGCTTAAAATTCAAATTTTTAAAATAAACCTTTGCTGGTTCGAATTTTGTAAAGCATTGTTAATATACTGCAACAATCGATGACTCCATTCAACCGTAAAAAAAGTCGCAGCATTGCATGGAAAAGCCCTAAAAATTAAGTTGACCTATTTAACTGCAGCTTTATTATTATAGAGATAACGGTTTCTAAATGTGTAAATCATGGCAACCACTTTTTTATAATTTCTATAGAATCAGGTAAAACGCCTGGAAAAAGATAATTCCACAATAATTGTCAGTTATACAGCTAAAAGCATTAAGTAATTCAAAGTTGATATCAGAGTGCAAAAGCTAGCGAACTTAAACATTCACCAACCTTAGTAAGGTAGAATTCAGTCCTGAAAAAAATCCGCGAATTCCATATGTCTTGTAAATATATTTCATTGCTTCAGCGTACGAGGAGTGCTGAGAATTGGCTTGGAACGTTGTTTTAACCACATCAGTCGGATAATTAAAAAACCATGAGGATAATCCAGCCAATCCTGTAGTAAAGTGAAAAACATTACCAATATATGCATTTCCTTTCTGGATAAATAGATATGGATTTTAAACTAGTATTGTAGGGTTGTACAACATCTACCATTTATTCAGATTTCTTTGATCTGAACTGGGCAGATCTAACAAAGAAGAAGAAAATTATCCATAGAAAATGCAACAGGATTAAAAAATAGAAGTATTAGAAAAATAGAAGCCTTCTGTTGTTAGAAAAATACCTCCAGCAAAAAGCAACTGTGAAGTTGTAAGAGATTCCACATTACCATCTTTGCTAAGTAATCGAGCAATATGTTCATATGAAGCAAAATAGATACCAAAAGAAGGAGCGTCGCGAAGTTGAGTTATTAACAAACCTCTAAAAAAAAATGTGTGGCAAAGAAAGAAACTACAATCGAATACGCCTTGAAAATCGTTTTTATTTCCTCAAATATCCAGATTTCGCTGAAATTTTTGAGGAAAAGGATTTTTGTGAAAATCATAAATGCTTTGGATCACAAGGAAATAAAGCTCGAATAGTGCAAAAATAATAAAGATATTGCCTGAATAAATATTTGTATCCTTTTTGGCTCACAACTTTTTGTAAGCAGTCATATGGCGAGCGATATTTCTTAACACCGAGCGAATCATTCTAGAATTGAGAAAATTAGAACCAGCATTATTTTCTATTTTTCGATAAATTGTTGATGATTTGACAATTGATTTTAATTGATAGATCAATGCGTTTAAATTAGCCTCAGAAAAATTTTTCAGTAGGTAATTTTCTGAGTATGATTTCTACGATTGAAATTTATTAAAGGAAGAATAAGGAAGATTAGGATTTTATTAAAATTATCCTAAAAATTTTGTTTGATTTTATTGATCTAAATAAAGGCAAAAATTTGAATCTGTAGAAGCTTTTTTTAAACCTTATTTGTGCACCAAACAAGTTTTCAAACTTCTTTTTTATTAGCATTATTTATAATACAATATAATTTCGAATTCATAAATACTGTTTGAAAATTAGGAGAGAAAAAAATCTTAAATCTAAGATAAAATATTACTGGGTTTATCGTATAATTTGCACATACCTTCGTAACATTTTCGGCTAATTTCATAATTTAAAAAATTAAAAATTAGCTATAAAGATGGTTTGAAAAGATGATTTGTTCTGGATAGAGATCTCTATTTTTCTAACCTCATTTACCTGCAAATGTACTACAAAGCTATGAGCAAATATTAAGAAATATACAAGTATATATATATATATTGACAAACCCTACCAGTATTAATCTTGTCTATAGTGAAAATTGCGATTTCAGCTCAAATCTTAATAACTAGAAGTAGTGGATATAATTTATCAGTGCAACTAAATTAATCAGCCAAAATTTCCTTATTCGTGCAACAGATTATTGGAATAGATTAAACAAAGGTGTGCTTCTAGTACTTTCTGTCCTTAGTGCAATTTCGATATTTACCCTTATCATTTTTTTTCATCCTATTTTTTACTTGTTTCTAAATTTTCTCAATTTTTGCACATGGAATTCATTACTCCGCTTGCTTATTTCGTAAATAATTAGGTAAAAATAAAAGCAACTGTAATAGCAATAATAATAGTTATAATGATTATTATAATTGTAATAAGAATGATTAATAATAACAATAATAAAATAACAAAAATAATAATAAGAAAATAACAAATGCTAAAAACTAATTGATTTGAGATGTGGAACGATATGCAATTGATTCACAAATTATTTTAGGAATTAACTTGTGATTATAAAATTTCTAAAATGCGAATCCAATATCTCCATTATTAATACCTGAATTTGGACATGAAGTTTTAGCAGTTCCATAGGTGAAGAAATAAGAGACTGAGCTAAACCGGCAGTAAAGCCAGCAATAAAATGGGTTTTGATGCTGCACTGATCTTCAAACTGTCTCACTATATGTCCATAAATTCCAAATATTATAGCATTAGTTAAACTTAGAGTAGCCAAAGGGCTTGATATTCCTAAAATATTTCCTTTAGAAAAACTGTGAAAAAGATGGATATGAATTTGCTACGGAAATTCCAAGAAATTATCTTTAAAAAAATTAAGCATCTATCCTCAGACCAATGTTTAAATTACCAATTCCTTGATATTTCCTCCAATGTGAATATAATATAACCTGGCATGAAAGAGAAAGTACCTTTAAACAACCCAGCAATTCCTTCATTTTTGATGATAGAACGAAAACAGTGGATGGTTCCGGTGTATTGACCTGGTGCTTGAGTTTGAAGCTGCACTTTCACAGTATCTAATGGATGACCGGCTAAAACGCCAGCTATACCTGAAGATGGAATACTTCTCTATCTTTTTGGCTACATCGCTTGATTATCTCTAATGACTTTTTAAATAGTTTTCTGCAAGTTGTTATTATTATGGCTGTCGCTTTCACCTTCAAAGCCCTATATTTACTGCATACTGATTTTTTTGTTTTCTCCTTATTCATTGTTTTATTACTACTATTTTACTGCTCCTTATTGTTATTATTGTAAAAACTTTGGATTAAACGATCGATTAAATGGCAAAGGCATTATATATTTATATATATATTTTACAAGCTCTTATCAGTAAGCCATGGCCTAAGTGATAAAACCATTTGGAATGTACATCATACAATTTTTTAAATCAACCATTTGAATAAATTCAAAATTATTTCTTCATCATCGCTTATATTGAAATTATATTTAAGCTATCTTAGTCCTTGTAAATTACATGAAAATAAGAAAAAGTTGGTGAAAGTTAAATTGTAACATTTTTTCAAATCGGAGAGCCAGTACTAAGGTTCCATTGCCCACAGGAGTAAAACTATCTAAAAATCCGGGTGATTTTAGCGACTTACCTGTACTTCTATCGCCAAGGTACTCCCCGGCATATTTGTCCAGTGCGACAAGCCAGCGGAGCGAGTTTGACCAATAATGGTGAGGACTCTTTAAAAAAAATTTTAACATATATACCTCCAACACATCCGGCAAAAAAATAAGATATCATTGAGAAAGGTTTGTTAAAGTTCTTTTTTTTGAGAAAATTGTGATAACTGGTAGCTTATAACGATAAGTGCGGATAATCTGCAAGATTTCTGGAATGAATTCGGATGAATGACAATGACAATCTTTTCTGGGAAAGAACTGGTCAAATTCAATTGAAGTTAAATGTGAATGCTTTGAAAAAAATGGCAGAAAGAGTGAAATCAATTTTTTATGGGTAACGCACATGATAAGTGATCATTGATTTTTTTCGCTTATCAGGAAACATGAAGCACGATAGTGTTCAGGTTTTTAAAACAAACATCAGTCATCAGTTATCAGTTAACTGATCGTAAAAAATTCATTTAATGGTCGGTGCTATGCAAAAAGAATACACAAACGACGGTTGGCGAAGTTTTAGTTTCAAACGGTTTTCGCCATATGTCAGCATGAGATTATCGAAAACATTGCAACCTTTTTGCTAAAAACTCTATTAGAAAAAAATTTATATTTACTTAATTGTGAGAGTGTGAGGGAAATGTTTAAAATTTAAATTGTTAATAATAAAAAAATTGTATAAAGAACTCAACTGATAAGCGACATCTGATAAGCATAGTATGCTTCACCTATTCATCTGTCGTTTTCTTCTTTTTTCCAAGTCTAATTGTTTCATGAAAATCTGTCGCAAATAGCAGCAAATTTAGCAAAGACCTAGAAGAATTCTTGCAGAAGATAAGCATACATCAACATCATTATGAATAAGCGTAAGCAGCTCAAAACCCCGAAAATCAAAATGCGAAAGGCGAAAATCCCGAATAGGAAAAAACTGTAAAACATTGCTTTTGTCTACACATTGTAATACATTGCTTTTTTCAGATTTATTCCTAATTATAATTTCGAGATAAGAAGGTGAAATCCTTTCTGACGTTCTGAAGTCATTCGTTCTTGATAAGTAAAGAAGGTCAACACATTTCTGAGGTTTCTGTAGTTTTTTTCTCATATGGGACCCATTATGAACAAATCGATGCCAACTATTCTTTTGACTGAAAAATTTTATAGATTTTAAAATTCAGTAAAGTTTTCAAAATTATGGCAAAAAAGCATTCAAAATATTTGGAATTTAATGAAAAAAATTTTTGTGTCTTTTTGGATGGAAGATAATATTTAAATGAATAAATTTAAATGCCAACTATTCTTTCGAATTAAAATTAAAGTTGAATTCACGAAAACACATTTGTTCATTATTTGATAAATTTATTTCTTTGCAGTAAAAAAACTTTTAATCTTCGGTGCTAATTTTGAATGTTATTACTAGTGTTAATCATAATGTTAACGAGGATAGGGCTGTTATGATTATTACCGTTATCATCATGCAAAATTTGCTCTAATTAGTACCATAAAGCTTAAATTACATTAAATTAATTTGGACAATAAAATATGAACATAAATAATGCAAAAAAAAAGATAATTAATGCATACACATAAGTAAAATTTGGAAATTATCTTAATGTTACTACTACTTTTAAGATGGGTGGCAGACATAACTATTGTACGATCAGATGCTAGGTGGCAAGCTAGTGCACAACCTCATAAGTAGGAACCACCACTTTTTTTTCGCACCTTGTAGACCCAAATTTCTCTTCCACTCAACAGAGATCCGTTCTAGTATGCTTCCATTTTTTTCCTGGCCATGTCAGATGAGGCAAGGGTTAGGCTTCTCGCTTCTACCGCAAAGTTCGGCCTCTTGACATTCGAAGTCGGTGAAGTCTAATATGGAGATTCCACTCCACATTGTCCAGATGTAGTCCAAATGATGTAGTCCAAATGAAATAAAAAGGTCTTATTTTTCTGACACATAATTCATAACTAACACGATGACCCATATTTATATTCGCATTCCTCACTTTTTCTCTAAACCTCATAGATAGCTCCACTTTTCCATCTTCCATAGCTTTGCCATACTATCCTTAGCTTATATACCTACAGGGCAAACGGATGGAAATGATCATCTAAATCTTCTAAATAAGTTCATTTATCGTTCGCCCTCTTTGTTCATTCCTTTACGGTCAACTTTATCGGATTAGTGGAGGTGTTGGCTCAAAGACCCTTCGAAAAACTTAAACTGGCTGAAAAGATACGATATGTTGTAAGGTCGCATTCCAAATACCATATCATTCCAGATCTTAATTGGACTTCTTCAGCTACATTCACTGCAAGGTTTGCCGTTTGGTGAGTTTTAATGCCAATTTCGGTGGCCGCAATTAGCAGCGAAGAAAGTTACATGACCGCCGTAGTACCGAACGATTGACGCAACCATGAGTTTTTATGAACAAATTACTGCTTAAGGTACTGTTTGTGAACGAGGAAGCGACATTTAAGAGCATCGAACAAGATATATAAATTGCTGAGGAAGACGCCAAAGAAATGCATTGCTACTGGACAAATGTCGATCCAACAGTTTCCTTGCTCGCTTAGAAATGTGAATCAAGCTGAACATAAAACTGAATCGCACGAAGAAGAAATTCGTCGACGAGAAATTTTAAATTTGAAAGACCAGCCAACTTTGTTGTTGCAATAACAATTTGTTGCATAGAATTTTTTTCACTTATTAGTATTGAATTTCGTAGACAGACGAGTACCGGCAACTCCTAATCGAGTGGTACCAGTTCGGGTTCTGACGCCTCGAACAACTGTGTTTCACTAAAAGAAGAATATCAGATTTTTCTAGTCCATTTTCCTGTTACCTATTTTACAAATAGAAACGACATTTTTGCAAACAGAGAGCTTCTATCCATCATTTTAATCAAATCAAAATTTTCTAATTGGCTGTTTTCGATAATTGAGAAAGAGATATGCTGAAATATTAACTAAATTAATCAACTTTCAATTGTTTTTGCATTTGATTTTTTCACTTATTAATATTAAATTTCATATGCATATTTGAAAGTAATAATAATTGTTAATTATTAATTAATGTGCAAATATATTTCCACAATAATGCCAATAATAATATTTACAAATACGATTTTAGACTGCCGAAAACTGCTCAATTTATCCACTTACTCACTTTTCGTTTCCCACGATGGGCCGCGAAAATTCAGCAGCAGGTGGGACTGCGGCCAACTTTTCGCCGCTTATACGTGGATCGTCTTTTGGCGTGAGATACCGGTGGAAGTCGCTTATCGAATTTTTTTGCAAAGTTTTCTAGGGTTGCGTGTTTAATTGTCGAGGTTTTCGGAAGGTTCTGTTCAGGTTGGAGGCTGGAAATTGGATGAAAGTGAAGGAAACTTTAGGGAAGTGTCACTAAAATCTAAGAAGAAATCAGTATTGATGGGAAAAAGTGCAGTAATTCTATTAAATTTGTTACAAATTATTTTGAAATAAAAATGCTGTCTAAAATAAGAATAAAGTTTTTACAAAAATTTTAACTCAGCATTTTTTGTTTAATTTGTTTCACTTTATGATTACTTTTAACTGTTGAATGACTTTTGTTGAATCATCGCAAAATCGTATTTTGAAAAATTTTTTAGTTCCTTTTTAAAATTTCCATTCTAAATCGGATTTTTCAGTATAAATTAATTAAATTAAATTGTATTAAACTTTCTCGTTCCTCTTTCAAGTTGATTATCTTCCTCTTTTAGCTTTGAAAATTTTTTATGAAAGTGTAAAGTATTAGCAGTTGGATTAGTTGTGCAAACATTTCTCATTGTTGAAAATTTATTGTGCAGCGATTTCACATACGAAATTTTTTTTCAAAGAATTTTTTAGATTTGTCGTCGTGATATTCGAAAGAATTCAGTGGGGCGTAAATCGCTGTAGCAGTATCTATCATGGTATGCATGAAATTTTGCTCAAATTTGATTCAACTGATAGTAATATTTCTTCATCAACATGAAGTTGCTTTAAGGTCGGATCTTTGAGACTTATTTGACATGGCTCGAGCTCCAGTTCGTCTCAATGTATATGATATGGTAGGATTTCCTTAAACTATAGGCAGTAGCCTGTTTTCTAGACATTCCAGTGAAGGTTACGAATCTGTTTTCTCTTATGACTAATAATTAATACAAGTGGTTACCGCTAGTCATTTTTGGGTCGACTACTTCTGCTGGCTGTTAACACAGTTAGAAGTTTTTACTAGGGAGTAGCTCAGCCAGAAGTATTGGTGGATCACCTTGTTTTCTTCTTCTGTGGGGAAGGCAGTAGGAGATGAACCCTTCTGAACCCTTGTTTTTCAACATGATAAATGAGTTATTATGCACTATGCTAACCTGGTCATATACAATATATTCTAAGAATATACAGGTTTTTATCACAAAACTGTTAGGCTCACTGATCTATAATTTCATTCCGACCGATTAATTCAGACGCTTCTGATATTTCTGATTTTTTTTGTATTTTATCATACTTCTTAAATTTCAAAATTTATTTTTTTGAACCAGTGATGTGCATTTTTATTAGAACTAGTTGAAATTTCAGTATTGGTTAAATGACTATGCATCAGTAATTGGTTTCGGTGTTTACCACAGCGGTATTGAGGTTTATGGCTTAGGTTCGTTTTTATTAGTTTCTGTTAAATTTTTTTTCATTTTAATTTCTTACTAGTCGGTGCTTATTGTTCTGGAAGATTTTTTTTGAAGCTATTCTTTTCAAATTTTTTTGCTTTTCGATATAATTTGGTTTAGAAGTGGTATTTCAGAATATGCCTATGGTGGTCATCCGTACCATTTTTCTGGAATATTTGAGAACACACCGCAAGATGCAGAGGAATTGGGAGAAAATTTCAAGTTTAGGTATATTTCCAAATAGAAGAAATGATGCTAATGATACTGAAATTGCTGGGCAGTAAACATTTAATTAAAAAGTGTAGATTTAAATCGTTTTAGGGAAAGCATATTATTAGGAGAAACAGATTTTGCTCCAGAGGATGTGAAAAATTTGATTGAAATGTTAGGTGATGAATTTCAAGGTGATAAATATCATTTGATTTCAAAGAACTGCAATCATTTTACTGCATCATTAGCGAAGGTCGGTTTTTCTTCGATTTATTAGGCAGCCGTAGAAAAAGAGAAAAAAAAGATCGTAAAAGTTCATCCGTCATCTCTTCTTTCGATTGTTTATTTTGATTTTTTTTATTGAATTATCGATTCAGAAGAAATTTTTTTGTTTTGATTTTAAAAAGTTTATCTATTATCTAAAGTTTTCTATTATCAGGTTATCAGTTTTTTAGACTCTGACTGGTCGTGACATACCGTCTTGGGTTAACCGGTTAGCTTCATTTTCAAGATCGATCCCATTCCTAGAACGTTGTCTACCTCAAGAATGGCTAACTCCAGTTGCGCTTCAAAACACCATTGACGAGCGAGAGAAAAGAATATCATCTGGAGTAGAGAATGGAATTGAAATTACTGAGGAAATGGCACTGAATAAAAGTAATTTTCATATTTTCGAATTTTTTGCCCATATTTGCCTCTTTCACTATCAATCTTTTTTAACTTTAGGTTCAAGAGAGACTCGAAGAATCATATTTTTATGGGTAATATGATTTCTTTGTTGAATTATTGATGTCAAATTACAAATTGGCATTCCTATCATTCTTATTATTAGAGTCTTTTCTTAAAGGAGCATTTAAATTATATTTTACCTTAAATTACATTGAATTTTTTGAATTAAATTTTTTTTGCAAAAATACAAAAAGACTTCGGCATCGTTATAAAGTCTTGCTGGTATGAATTTGCGAATGGAATGAGGGTGTCATTTATTGTTTTTCCAGATAAAATGTTAGGCAGAATGATAAAAAAATATTGAGGTGAATTATTGAAGGTAAAATTTTTTTCAAGAATGTCCATAAAAATTCACAAATTCCTCATATTTGTTTTTTTTTATATTCTTATACATCATATATCGGTGAAATAATTTTTATTTTAATCCTGAAATAATCTTTACACTTCATTAAATTCTTTTTTAAAGATTCTATGGTTCATTTTTTTGTTGCGATATTACGATAGTCATATTTTGGTGATATTATAACTGTTGTAATGGGTTTTTTTTACTACCTTATTTGTGGTGTTTGGCGATCAAATTGAGTGATAATTTCGGAATATTTTATCGGAAATGATTTGTTTTATAAAAAAATTGGCATTCCTTGGCATTCCTAAAAGAGTAAGGGAAATAAAAATATAAGACCATATCATGTTCCGTTCCATTTTTACTTTTTGCAGTTTCTTTCTAACTATAAATTCGCTTATTTAGATGCCGAAGCAGTAAACATGAATAAGCAAAGAGGAAGAGAAAAGGAAGACGAAATAAGCACTTCTCCATCCACTCGTTTATCTTCACTCACGCGTGTATGGAATTCCATAAAGAATTTTGCTGCTAACGACTCGCAAGATGAATTAAGACAATTATCGTGGGATGTGAACTGGAGATAAGCGTTTTTGCGAGTATAATTTGAAGTTTTCCTTTTAATCATAAATTTTTTAGCATTAATCTTCTGTTTTAGTTTTCATTTTAAATTTTTAATAATTTCTTTAGATTCCTTGAGAAATTATAGCCATTTTTTCCTGGGCTACTGTTTTCTCTTCGAAAATTGTTCTTAATGATTGCTCATTTAAGCATAATTTTATCTCCATTCTTTTGCGCCCAGCCTTCTCCACTTTTCTCGCAATTAGGATTTAAAGAAGTTTATAGATAATATAAATTGTGTTTGTCTTATTTCTGTTCATCATCCTCTTATTCAATATTTTTCTGATTCTATTCTCACATATGAAATAATATTCTCACATCATAGTTTCAAGAATACTTCAAAAATAAATGAAGCAAAGAATTCATTCAATGTTCTCTAATCTGTCAAATTTGGTTGAAATGTCTTCGAGCTTGTTTTTATGGATTCTGCGATTTTTATTTTAAATTAAGGGTACTAGAAATTTTACAGAAATTTTCATTCTTTAGTTTATGTTATGTTTTGTTATCATAATAGGCAAATTTATGATACGAAGAAACGAATTTTTTGCTTACTTTTATTTTCTTTATCTTTTTGTTTTTACTTTTTCACCTTTACCATTAACCATTATTTGTTTATCCATTTTTTCTCATGAAATATCTTCATAACGATAATTGTTAAAATACCAAAAATATAGGAGAATGATTCTTTAAAATTTTTTTTTGATACGAAGATTTTGGTCCTATAGTATTATGAAATCGTTTAGAAATCTGCATGGTTTGATTCATTATTTAGTTCAAATCTGAAACTGGGTTAACAGATCGGATCTAATGGGGAAGTTTTTTTATTACTCATTTCTGTAAATTAAATTGCTATGTGATAAATTTATGAAGCTCTGGCAATTTACACTTTTTGTGCCTTCAAACTATCTTCCATACTCTCAACATTTCTGTGTTAGTTGGTTGTTGTGTCTTTCTACTTTTCTCTTAATGAAATTTTTTAATTTCCTCAGCAATTCATGTCATCATCGGCTATGTACTGATTATTATTCCATTTGACCTCAGAATATTGTTTGTATCTCAATATTTCTTCACTTTCTGATGTTTTTTTCTAAATCTGTACGTAATGAATAAAGAATAACCAATCTCGAATAACCATTTGAATGGTGGATCCCCTATTCCCCTATGAGTCGAATTGACCAAGATTCTTATTTGTGGTCTTATTAGCCTAAATTATTAGCTTAAATGTTTCAACATTTATTTTTATAGACATTTGGTTGGTTGAATTAGCAATTTCAAATTACCAATTTAGTTTAGACAAAGTTAATGAAGTTAGATGCTTGGTCAAGTCCTAGAATTGTAAAAGTTATTCTAACGAATATTTCATTCATTTATTTGCTGTATCATAACTCGAATATCTCCATCATCCAACAGTTGTGTTTGAATTTTTTTGTGTACTTACACGAACATTATTTGCCTTACTAATAGTCTTCTTTTATAAAGTTTCTTATTTCATTTGTTTGACAAAGTATTTGGTGAAAAGTGAAATATTCTAAAGTATGATGAAGACGTGGGAAAGAGTCAAATATCGTGATCATTGTTTTCAATGATCATTTAATAATTTGCTTATAAAGTAACCATGCAAATATCCATTTTATTCATAATTCAGTTATCCTTTTTCCAGGGCATGGAATCAGTGTGATTGAGTAAATTTCCACACACATTAATTCAAAACTCAAAAATACGATTTTAAAACTCACAAAATTTAAAAAAGGGTATACATGACTGCCTATTAAATAAATACCAAAATTAAATTGAAGGTAAGGTAACCTGTTACCATTTTTCAAGTAGTTGCGAAAATTTTTATTTAAGTGAAAAATATACAAAAAGACAGAAATATATAATATATTTTTTAAATAAATAATTTGAAAAACAATGTGTTTTCATTCATCAACCTTTCTTTTATCGTCTAAAAATAATTGTCATTATTACTTGTAATCTCTAAAATAATAAAGTGCACAACTTTTTTCCAATAAAAATATAAATAATGAAAAATTACAAAATAGGTAATAAAATGCAGTAAACTGATAAACTAACCGCAAAATTTTGTAAATTGAAACAATTTTTTGACGCGATCGATAAAGAGGAATAAGAAAATTTGATATGAGTCAAATAGGCCGTATTGCCCTTTGCCCCAATTCACAAATAAAAACGAATAAAAAAAGTCAGAATATGGAAGGAATAAATTATGAATAAACATGAAGTTAAACTATCACCTAAACTCTACTAAATTCATAATTTCGAATAAAAAGTTAATCTAAAAATAAGACTAAAAAATAAGAAGAAAAAGCTAAAATATACTGCAAAATTATTTCAAATCATCAGCGTTATTATCTTCATTCTGTGCAGCATTACGCGAATTTCCACAGCAGTCTGGTGCATTTAGCCTCTTCATTAAGCGAAGAAACTAAACAGAGAATAAAAATTCATTATCTTTTATCATCTGGGGCCAAATAAATAATAAATTTTGTTTCGAATAATAAATCAGCAAAATGTGGTTTTGAATAATTGAACATATGAAATAATAATTGAACACTTTAGCTCAGATGTTCGGTGTGTTGTATCGATACTCATTTTGTCTTTAAATAACCAAATATTTAAGGCTATAGCTCAGAGATGAAGTTAATTGCGACAATTAATTAGTTTAGTTCCAAATTTAGTGTAGATATAACTTTTGTAGTTAAATGAAACAAACCTCATTATCCATCGATTTCAACAACGGCCTTTGAAAAATTTCTTGAAAACACTCATTATCTCCAGCTTCATATGATGAAATTAAATCTGCACAAGCACGAGCATCCTCTGAGAACTCAAACCCTTCACATCTTAAATTTTTACATATTAAACCGAAGGGATACAGCAAAATATTTAATTTATGAGGGAAATAATAAGAACAAAACAACACAATATAATATACAAAGAAATCTTCCAATTTTCGACGTCTAAAATCTAAAACCGGAAGGATATATGCCACAACTTACGTGATGCGTTTAAAAGCTTACTTAAATGATTTTTGAAATCGTTTAGATGCAGCGATAGAATCACCTCCAACGAGTTCTAATAAGACGATAGCAGTGGTCAACTGCCCAACTTTTCCAAATTCCTGAAAAACAACAATATTAATATTTCAAAGGATACATACATATAGACATCATATAAGTATTCTGTTCTTTTTCGTTCAGGACTTAAAAAAATAAATTTACACCCAAATAAATAACGGACGGCAATCGGTTTCATGAAATAGATTAAGTTCACTGGAGAAACTTACATGAACATCCGTATACATGTCGATTTCATTGTCAATATTACTGATGGCTTCCGAAAACCTTTCAAGTTTTAAATAAAGTTTAGTTAAACGATTGAAAAATTCGCCAGCCATACGAGATCGATCGGTTTGTTGCACCAGACTAAGAGCTTTTTGATAAATCTAAATTCTTATTGTGTTTTACTAAGCACATTCGTTCAACAGATAAAAAGTAACAGATAAAAAGTAACAGAAAAAAAGAAAACAGTGAAAACCAACAAACAATAATAAAATAACTGAATTAAATAATTTGAAAAGAAAGTACTCGGACAGCTTTTTCAGGATCAGCCTTTTCAAGGAATTTGGCAGCTTTGTCCAAGGCCATCGCTGCCGTATCTATACTTCCAGATTGAGCATAACCATCAGCAGCTAATTCCATATATTTCATTGATCCTTCGCCATCACATAGCTCTTTACATACCATTGCGGCATTTTCGTGACATCTAAATTCATCGAAAATATCAGTTGTCACAAATTAATACCTTTGGATAGAACAAGGAAGTAAACAAGCATTATATTCAGAATAATAGAGTTTCTCCCCTAACAAAATATTACATTTTTCACCAACATTCATCGTTTCTCAGTCTTTTTTTTATAATAAATATGCTACATAAACTTTTGGAAAATAATTAGGCTACTAATCTAGAAAACTGAAACTAACTTTGCTGCATGGAAAATATTGCCATTTGAAGAATGCATAGATGAAGCCTTTAAATAAAGATCACGACAGCGGGCTAGGTCACCAGCATTTCTGCAACAAATAGCTGCTCTATCGTATTCGATAGCGGCACTATCATAATCGGGTTTGAATTTCATTTTGATAATGGAAGTTTTTAAGCTGAAAAAAAAAATGCGACAAAACCTATAACTCCTCGAGTCAAATTTTTGAAATACTGAAACAATCAAAAATATGAACAAACAACAGAACTTGTAAAATATAGCGATTACATCAAATGAAATGTGAATGCAGAAAAAAGTTAGAAAAAAACTTACTGATTTTCAGCTCGTTTCACGCATTCATCAGCTTCAGCTAATCGTCGTTGATTTACTAAATCCATATTGCTAACTGCAAAATCGGTAAAATACTGGACAAAATTGAATTTGCATCACCTAATCTAAACCAAAATTTAGATAAATCAACTTGCACCATGAAATATTCGACAAAGTCACTTATATTATCAATAAAAATACCCAAAACAATATTTTAAAAAAACACACTTTATTTTTCTTCCAAGGTTTGTTGAAAATGAAAAATCAAAAACCTATCAGAAAAAGATCAGAAGGCGAAATAATTTAAGAACTTGCAAATTGCAAGTCAGTAACATTAATCTGCTACCGCAATACGACCATTACGAAAAAGAAACGATTCATTCGCATTAGTAATCCAGAAAATTTCAAACAATGTTTTTAAAAAAAACAAAAATTTGGAAACGAAATAATGATAAAAACAAAATAACAAGGTGGTCTGATAAACGAGTGGAAAGGAAGCGAAACGCAATAGAACTTCACAAGTCTCATAAAACAAGCAAAAAATTTTTTATAGGATGGATTATCGAATTTACAATTGCCAAAGATCACTTAGATTGCTGCACTTCACCACAGTCGACAATTTCTACAATCTGCTTAGGTTTACCACTAGCTGATCCTTGATATTCTATTGCTTTGACAACATTCATACCATCAGTAACTTTACCGAAGACAACATGTTTACCATCAAGCCTGAAAATCCGATAAGATGAAAATTACAGAACCTATATGATAATTCATAATATGACACAGTGTAAAGTATTTAACTATTAAACAAGTCAATAAATCAATAAAAAGCTAATAAAAAAATTTATGTTTATAATAGCATAATAAATTTTTGTTTAATTGATTAATTACAAAAATATTTTGGTCACTCGTAATAATACTTTTCGAAACTACTATATTTTTATTTAAAAAAAAAATTAACAAATTTTATTATCTTCATCAGTGTGAATGACAAAGATTCCTTTTTTGATCAGAATTCACTTAAAGAAAATTTTTCACTAGGAATGGCTAATCGTGATAAAATAGCAAAAATTTTCGGTTTAGTTTTTTTAAAATAATGAAATTTTGAATCACGCTTTCTAATCATTAATCTATTTATAAAATGGATAAAAGCACACATAAAAAGAACAGTACAAAAAATTGTACCATTCGGTCTTCGTAGTGCAAATGAAAAATTGAGAACTATTCGTATTTGGTCCAGCATTTGCCATACTTACAGCACCTTTTCCAAAATGTGACATATCGAAATTTTCATCCTCAAATTCCCTGCCATATATTGATTCACCTCCGCGACCATCGCCATTAGTAAAATCACCACCCTACAAATGAAATAAATTACAGATAATCAAAGAAAAACATATGCATCAAAGATGAAAAAATTCACAGCAATGGGGAGTACGAATTCCTGCACTTCCATATTCTGAATTTGAGTAGATCCATTCAAACAGAGCATTCAGAAACAATATGCAAATTTTATAAATTTCAAAAAGTAAACGAGCAAAAATAATTTTAAAAAAATCATACTTGAATCATAAAATCAGGAATAATTCTATGAAAATGTGATCCTTTATAATGAAGTGCTTTGCCAGATTTTCCGATTCCTTTTTCACCAGTACAAAGCGCTCGGAAATTTTCCGTTGTTTTTGGCACAATATCATTGAAAAGCTAGGAAGTTATTAAGCTATTACTAATAGCAACCTGGCTAATAATCGGCATACACTAGTATTTCTACTGTGCAAAGTGGCGTTCTGGCGAAGAGCTTTCAGTTCAACAGTAAGTGGTGCCGAACAAAGCGAAAAATTGTGAGTTTTATTATAAAAAGAATCAATAAAAAAAACCCATCGCCAAGAACCATACGAGTAAAAAATGGAAAGATTTTGTAAAAGCACCAAAAAATTAAACATTCTTTAACCAAATTTTTCACTATTTATAAAATTAAGTAAAAATTTAAAGCAGTAGAAAAGGATAAAATAAAGAATTATTTAAGGAATTAAAAAAATCATCCCTTTTTTTTTCAAGTAATTCAGAAGAGGAAGATATTGCACAAATATCAAATATGCCCTAGAAGAAAATAGCTCGGAAGAAAAATTCATGTAGGGCAGACATCAACGAATGCTAATAACTTGATGACTACCTGGACGGGAAAAATGATGAAATAATATAATGTACTGCAAGGCATTTAATGAAAATCACCTGTATAACGATTCGCCCAGATGGTTTGCCACCAATTGAAATGTCAAAAAACACGCTTGACCTTGGTTTTTTTGCCTCAGCTATTGAAGACCATCGAAAAAACGATTTTAAATTTGATAAACGATTAAATATTTGCCGCATTATTTTTAACAAACCATTAACTTAAAAATTACAGGTTTGTAGATTTATTTATGTGAAGTGGAAGTCGGAGGGGTCAGAGGTCATCGTAATCATTTCATCACTCATTCATCGTCCATTTCTTTCATCTTCTTCCACTCCGGTATATTACTTTCACAGTTTTTCTCAATTTTCCTCCCTTCTGCTCAGATATCAGCAGCACCAGTTTTCTTGACAACATTGCTGTCCGTATAACCGAAAAGTAAGCCCAACGGTCCAATTTCTGCGGAAAAAAAATATCGCGAAAATCTAGTGGATTCACTTCCTTTTTAAGAAAAAATGCTTCAAAATGCTTAAAAAAATTATTTAAAAAAAACATCCTCAGCAATTATTTGATTTCAATTATTATAGTTACCCAAAAAATTATAAAATTGACAGAGGCCGATTTATAGTAACGAATTTAATTCAGCTGCATGACTCGTCACGCAACAGAAAACGCGCTTATACTAGGCATTTGGATCGGTTGGCGTTGAAATTTGTTCACGTTGGAAGACACTTGCAAACTGTGTTGCGTGTATTTCGTTCTATGAACTTTGAGCCGTTGTTATTTGAACGAGTTGCTCTGTCGCTTTTTCTTCTCCATTTTTAATTTGCTGCTATAAGGTATAACGAAAAAGGAATGTTCATTTGTGGTTTACGTGGAAATCTCCGGAGCAGTTCTTCCGCTTTAATTATTCGCAGATTTTCTTGTAAGTTTTATAAATTTATATAAAAACTATGTATTTTACGCAAATGCATTGTTGCTTAAACGAGCATCGGTGTTGGGCAAATGGAAACCCCAAGGCGCCGTTTCGCCAAAAAAATTAATTAAAAAATCCAGGTGATCTGCCTGTACTTCTGTCTGTTTATAATATCCCTATCTATAATTAGTGGAGCGAAGTCTGAGTGCAACCTTAAGATTACCTTAAGTTGTCAGATTCTATAAATTTAGAGTGCATTTGCAGTTAAACTTTCGTTTTTATATATTTGTGAGCAGAATTAACCTGGCTGCATTCATAATTTGTCATTTTGATCGCATCGTTTTATAGATAATAATATAAGATGGTTTGAATAATGTTGCTCTTAAAACGCTAATAGCAGAGGTAATTTAGATCGTTCGGATGCTTCTGTTTTATCGGGTCGCAAGGGAATCAACGAAAATATTGGCCTTATCACTTTAAACGATAAAAGAACGTTCAATGCGCTTTCAAGTCGATTAATACAGCAGGTAGGCATGTTAAAGTCTTACATTTCGTAAATAATTGCGGCTGTACATCAGAAATAGGATAGAATAAAGAAAATAAAATTATACCTTAGGTGTTATCTGTTGTTGGCGATAAAAAAGAATATTTGGTTAAGTCGTTGCTGGATTCTAAAAATAGCCTTTCTGTACATTTCATCTGCGATTTTTATTCGATACATAATTTTTAAATTTTGCTTTTATGCTTTACACAACTAATAATCGGTTTTAATGTGAGGCTCATATAAATTTACATTCGAACGGGGCAAAACATCCGTTGCTCGTATAATTAATGAAAAAGTGAAACATATTAGTGGTATGTGAAATAAATGACAGGTAAAAATCTGTGGTTACGTAAATTTTTTTTTTCTCATCATTCAACATTTTATTTTCTATTAAATTTGTTATGAAACTTGAGAATTCAAATTTAAAATGGGCAAATTCGAATATCAAATATTACTTATATAATATAAAATTCTTTTAAATACTCAAAAATATAAAAATTACAGCTGAAATCAACTCTTAAAAGATTTGATGTTGATAACAGTATTGCGGCAATAATTCTAACAGGTTCATCGAAGGTTTTTTCAAGTATTGCTTTTATCATTTTTTATTATAACACATATATATATATATTTTACGGTATATATATAATATATATATATATATTTTACGGCTTGAACACCTGTAATCACTACCAAAATGAGATTCCTTCGCCAGAGAGTTACATAAAGATAGGACGGGCCGCTCAGCACTCGGAATTCACCCGGAGCACAGGTTTCACCAGTTTTTCACAGATTTTTCTCCTGTTAAGACACAGAAATTAAACCCATGATCTTGTAGAAGCAAAATATCATTTGGCCAACCTGCTTTTATTTAATTTACTCATTATTGTTGCGGAATTGCAAAAATTCTTATTCTTCTTCTAACAGCTCTCATCATTGCTGGTTAAACTAGCTCCGTTGGCTACGATATCTCCAAACTGTTCGATCTGATGCCCTCACTAACGGTAATAAAGGCCACTTCTTTTTCCATTGTCTATGTCCATATATTGCTGGTCCGCCTATACGTTCAAAATCTTTTTTGACCGTTTCAATCCAGGTCTTGATTAGCCCTCCTCGCTTTCGACGCGAACCATCACACGGTTTAGAAAGTAACTAAAAATGCGTCAACTTCTTTGGTAGAACGTGCCCTAACCAGCGAAGGCGACGCTCTGTGATAAAATTATTTATGCAAGTGGTATTTGAACGAAGGTGGATGTGATATTTTATCCGCTCGACGGTCCCTTAAAATGTACCTTAGACAAAAGTGGTCAAAGGCAGATAACTTATTAATATCCTCCATTCTCATTGGCCATGACAAGATCTCGCAGCAGTATAACAAGATCGGGCGATTTGCAACTATATATGCGCGAACTTTGGTTTTTGTGGTGATTTCGCGACGGCTTCTTAACAGTTTCTTAACAGCAAATTGAAAGAATACATTTCTAGTTACCATTATCCCCGTTGTAATTTCTTTTGCTTGGCTATTTGGAATTAGAGTGGGTCCGAGACATTTAAAACTGGCACTTCGTCAACTGTCGATGAATTGATGAAAGTAAATATTTTGTCAGCTTTTGGTACATTAGACGAAAAGGCTTTCGTTTTATTTAAACTGATCCTGATTCTCTTACACTTGTTGACACATTGTTTAGCATTATTTGCATTTCGTCTTAAGCAAAAAGGGCTTCATTATCAGCGTATTCAAGGTCTGTTATATTATCGTCTGGACTGATTTGCATATATTTTGAGTCCCGGTAAGCGATGTCCATTATTCATTCTATCGTTTAGTTGGATGCCAGTTTCTTTTTTCGAGTTTGTCAATTCTCATATACGTAAACCTGTGCCGATATGCACTGATAAAATGTATCGAATGATCTGTGGAACACCGTCACATTCCATCACCTTCCAAAGCGCTATTCTATCAGTTGAAAACAACTAGAAAAATCGATGAAACATATTACATGGGTTGCTGGTATTTGAAACGATGTTCCAGCACCTTTAGCGTTAATATCTGGTCAGTACAACCACTCCCCTGTCTATATGCAGCTGGGTTAGGACATAAACCTGCTGTTTTGTATTACCATAAGTCTACTGAGTATAAAGAAAGCAAAAATTTTCGCAGAGATGTCTAGATCTAGGAGAATGCTACTTCTTACGAGTTGTCAATTTTGTTAATTGCGAGTTGATCATGACTCGAGCCATAACATGGTCAGATCCATAAAGATTGCCCGTTTCAAGGCCCCAATAGGAATAACCATTTAACACGGAACTCTTCGAATGACGAATGACTAAGATATAATCAGTGCGGTTGGAGTTTTGATTATCCAGGAGTTCCACGTGATTAGATGTCTTCTACGGTGTCGTAAACATGTATTAGTAACAAAAAGTTCGTGCTGCTCGGCAAAGAAACGGCGTTCTCTAGGCGTATCGGGCTCCTATGCCATATTTGCCGAACACTGAGTTTATTGTGGTAGTATCGTGACCTACGCGAGCATTCCAATTTCCCCCCATTATCACCTTATGGAGACTTCAACTTAAACTTAATGACTGCTCAACTATTGTATTTGAAGTTTTACATAGAATTCATCTTTATTGTGGTTATCTGTGCATAAAATTAGAGCATATACACTAATAACCGAAATATTGCGGAACTTTCGTTTAAAATGAGCATAGGCCATACGGTCGTTTACCGGCTTCCACTTAGGGCGAATCGAGCTTTTTTAGATGACAGTCGTTAAGCCATTTCGTCCCAAATTATCCAAAATACCATAATGATATAGCCAGTACTTTTGCTCGGGTCCAAGTTTCAGTAATTGCATGAGATCCGAAGTTAGGAAGACGGACCTTCGACAAGCAGGCTATATCCACCCTATTTTAGGAAGAATATGGACAGTAATCACTTGTTTGCAACGTCCATAAGCATTCTGACATTCCACGCTGCTACAGCTAACACATAGCTGCACGTATAGAAGGCCATAGGATAGTTTATCGACAGTTTTCCACCGATTGCGAGCAATTATCCTGGCTCGCGAGCACATCATATTTTTAAGCGTAAGGGTTATTCCAAGACATATCCCATATATCGTCGGACTGAGAGTATCATGTGCATCGAGGGATGCGGACGTCAAAAAGTTCTGATTCACCATAGAGTGGGTCATTTTGGTTACAGGTAGGTCTCCAGCAAGACACAATGAAGAATTAAGGAAAAAAAATTAAAAATAAGAAATAGTAAATAGTATAATAATATTGAACATCTATTAGTTGATATGGGCTGAGCAGCCTGTATGCACTACTGCCCACAGTCAATCAATACCTCAGACTTGCTATTTGATTCTTATTGAAGAAATAAATATATTTAAAGTAAAAAATTTTGTTTTAGGTGGTGCATCAATAATGGAACTGTTGCATTTATCATATCCAGATATTTGCTATGATAAAACTTTTGATGATTTTATGTATATTTTGCAAGTTCGAAAACCAATTATAGCAGCAGTCAATGGAATTGCTTATGGTGGTGGTTTTGAACTGGCAATGATGTGTGACATTATTTATGCTAGTGAAAATGCCAGATTTGCTCAACCTGAAATCAAAATTGGTTGTATACCAGGTATTATTGCAACATAAAAGAATTTTGAAAGAATTTCATTGTATATAATTATTATAACTCAAATGAAATGCCAATCATATAGGAAAAATTCCAGTTACATATTGCGAGTAACAAATAATATTTGTATGCGCGGTATTTTAGGTTTTATTGATAATAACTATTATTTATTCCTGACGAAATGGTAGGTTGACGGGTTAAGACATTCTAAGGAGTTTTAAGATTTTAGGCGCGAAATGGATAAAACCATTATGAATTATAAAGGGTATAACAGTATAGATATAGATATTATTAGAGGGAAATAGTTGGGTTAAGAAAATAATACAGCGGTGTATGAGAAAATGTACGAAAAAATATAGGAAAAAGAAAATAAAGGGAGCACGGAAAAAGACAGAAAGATCCCTTGTAGACCAGAAAAATACTATTTATTCAATCCCAAAAGTAATATGCTGACCAGTTGTTCTTATTATATAATGTGTTTAGCAATATATGTGAATATCGTTCGCAACTTTTCAATCACACTCAGTTTTTTTAAGGAGCTGGTGCTACTCAGAGACTTTCTCGAACTGCGGGAAAATCATTCGCCATGGAATTCTGCCTTACCGCTCGTGAAATGACAGCTTTAGAAGCTAAGCAGCGTAAAATTATTTCGAAGGTAATATTGTTCTGTTCAGTATCCTGTGGTTTTGTGGCAAGTTGATTGCTACCAAAAATCAGAAGTGACTGGCATTCCGGCTGACGCACCATGCTCCGTCGAATGGCAGTGTCGCTGAACAGCGAAAGCAAAAGAGGACAAAATGGCTCAATGGGTTATTGCTCAGTTTGAAGCACTGATGTTGAGGTTCTATGCTGGTCATTAAACATATTCTCCAAAAATCTTGATACTGATGACTCATCTATACTTCTATCGCCAAGTAACTCCCTCACAAAATTTGTTTATCAAGCCAGCGGAGCATTTTTAATCATTTAGGAATAGATGCATAGGTGGGGTCATTCGGTCTTCACTTTTAATTATTTTCATCAATAGAGAAATGGAACGATAATATTTGATAATTGAAGTAACATACCAAATAATGCTTAATTTAATAAAATTATTTTTTTTGAATCATATATTCAGGAATAGCGAAGGAAATGCATTAAATTTGCTACAGGTTTGTCGACCGGATGAGGTCATTAGTGAAGCTGTTGATCTGGCGGAAAAAATTGCAGAAATAAATCCATTATACATTGCAAGAATTAAGGAAAATGCGAATAATGAATCCATACTTTTATAACCGACGACAGCATTGTGAAACAACTATTCTGCAAAGTAAACCGTGATGAGATAATTATAAGTTTTTTCCATATTCATTACTTGTGTTTTCCTTTTCAAAAATTTCTCATTACTTCTCATTCAGATGATTTAACGAAGGAATCGCAATGTTTATTATCCAGACTGGAAAACTGTTTTCCGAGCTGTGATTTTTTGTGATGAAAAAGAAACAATTGCTTCTCAAAAAACTCTAGAAGAGATTTGAAAGAATTTTTGAGTTTAACAGGTTATATTAATGAGAAATATGAAGGATTTTATTAATTTTTTGATTTAACGTAATTTACACTTTTCTTGTTGATTATCCCGGAAATGATTAGAAACAAACTAGAGGCGAACATATTTATTTCGAATATTTGGGAAGCTTGTGCAATTTGGGAAATTTCAAAAATGCAGAAGCGTAATCCATGTTTTCAATTTGATTTTGCTTTATTTGAACAGGTTTTAATACTCACATTAGTAAAGAGCAATTGAGTCATTGTTTTGATGTAGTAGTAATATTGCATCGATCCATATTGGTCAGTTTAGGGCTATTCTACCCTATTAATTTTTTATTTTTTAACTTTTTTAGTTTTTAATTACTAATTTTTAATGAAATAAAATTTCCTAACGAATTTTTTTCTGAATCTCTTCCTTGATAATTTCGTAATTATATTAATTACGAAATCATTTCTTTGTTTGTTTAGACGACAGGAATAAATCTCATTTTTTAAAGAATCCTTACCTTTACTGGTTAAACTCGCTCCGCTGGCTTGTCGCATTGGACAAATGTGTCAGCGAGTTCCCTATGGCGATAGACGTACAGATGAGTCGCCAGCATCACCAGGATTTTTGGACAGGTTTACTCCTGCAGGGAGTAGAACCTCTGCATCTACGCTCCGAATTGGACATTAATCCAGTGAGCCATTCTCATTGAGTAAACAGCAGCTTGATGCAGCTAAGGAAGTCGAACAAGCTGGTTGTGCATACACACTGCGAAGTCCTGGCTATAGCTGCATAGAATATTAGAAATACGCTTATGGATATATCGAGTCAAGTGTTGGCCATCCACATATCCGAATATCGCATGGATATCGCTTGCTTGTCAGAAGTCTAATTCTGGGTTCAGAGGAGTGATTGTACCCCTAATTCGGATAAGAACTAGTGGCTATATCTTATTTCGGATAACTCAGGGGGAAATTCTCGAAAAGGCACGACCGACTCTAATCGTCTGGAATCTTATTATTGACCAGTTCACCTAACTGGCTTCAGAGATAAATTTTACAATATCTCGATCATCATCATTTGTGCTGTGCACGAATTATTTGGATAAAAAATTCTATGCCGAGCTTAACTTACTAGCAGCATCTCTTCCTAAAAAGTTATCTAGTCACGAATAATTGGAATGCGCTCATAAATCGAAATGTCCCACTATTTTCTGTTGTCGACACTTTGTCACTGTGTGTTACATATACCAATGGAAGCATCTTCGCTCTGCCGAGTATTGTGGATCACTGTCAATACATGCTTTCAGAAGTGACATCTAGGGAACATGGAATTCGCCAGATAATCGATATTCTAATTGGTTTAAAGTATCTGGTCAATCATCGGTGGAAGAATTCTGCTCTTAATAGTCGATTATATCGCTGAGCGGAAAGATCATTTTATAATTATAGCCTAGAATCTGAATGATAAAGCATAAACATAACGCTCTCCAAGATTTTTTAACTATCTCAAGTTAAAAAATTCACGGGTTGTTGGCATACTCTGGTCCTATCTGGAATTTTGCTTTCAGAAGTCTGCCAAATCCTAAGGTACGGGACAAAACCTGGAAGAAGGATCTGGAATGAAGCAGGCCAGTTACTTGAATGTGCTCCCAGCGTGTCAGAAAATGTTAACTATCGGCAGCCACCCACGTACATTCCGTAGATAACGATCGTGAGAATGTGGAACAAAGCCGATAATGGAACGATAAGGTCTTGAATATGGAGATAGCAGCTCGAGTAAGGATAATCGGAAATTATTTGGCGTTTACAAAATAATCGAGGCCAGAGAATTGGTCAGTGAAATGGTTCGAAATTTGGACATCATTAAGACCATCAAAGATCGTTTTTCCTGCTGGAGAGAAATCTTTGAATCTAAGCTTAACTCAACGGATTCTATAGCATGCCGAAGAAGGGCGCATTTGGAGCCATACAATTACAATCGCGAACTACTACAGGAGCACGAATTAATCCTTCGCAAGCTTGAGGCTTATAGAATCTCCAGAGTAGATGATAGTAGATGATGAGCTGAATTCTTTAAATGCCACCCAAAAAGCGTCCTTCACAATACATTTACAAAAGTTATATTCACTGGTATGGGAAGACCAAATATCGTGCTCTCATTTCCCAAGAAAAGACGCACGCACTTTGACAACTATCGATGATTTGGATATTTATTAGATATTTCTGGAAAATTTTTGCTTCTCTTTCTGCTGGGTCATGGCAACGCGTGGAGGGAAATCTTGGTCAAACGAGATTCAAGCCTGCGGATTGTATCGACGTGAAACCAGCCTCAAAACAAAAGTTCACGTTTACCTGACTAGTAAAATTCTACTATACGGCTATGAAACATAATGAGAATGGAAACATAGTGAGCCACTTGTTAATAGCTACGGATTTCTGCGGGTTAATACAGAGTTTTTTTCTCAATTTTATCACGCTTGCCAATGTAAATTCGTAACGTTTGCAGATTTCATCGTGTTTGCAGCTCCTTTCGTAATGGACAAAAATTAGCCATACACAGAACGTTTAAAAGCGCATAATGGTGATATTTAATAGGTTTTTTATTTACAAATACCGGTAATTTTTTCGACTGAAGGTTTCTTTTTCGTGAAATATGTTATTTGTAATTCCATGTGCTTCTTTATAATTTTCACGTGAATCGGTTCTGTATGTAAAAAACATTTTCGTAGTGTATTTTTGTTCATTACCAAATTGTTTATGAATTATACGGAATAGTTCGCAAATATTACGATTCCATTCATAACTTGTAAAGTTTACTGCAAAGAAGTTTTTTAATTCTGATTGGATGGTTGGTTGAATGGTGGTTTTTAGCTGCAATTGATGGAAAATTTTCGTTTCGAGAGCTTCCTAATGTAATGGCGGCCATTTTAGCAGTTATCGACTTTATTGGTGTGGGGACTTTGTGGGAATAAGTTGTAAATTGGCAGGTGAGAGATGTCGAAGTGTGTTCCTTGAGGCGAATTTTTGGAGAAAAAAGTTTGATTTGGGTTCTAGATAAAAATTATGTAAAAAAGAGGGAAGAATTTATCATTTTTAAAAGAAACAAGAAAAAGAATTTTTTTTTCAAAATATTAATGCAGTTTGGAGAGTTTTAGATGGTGAAAAAAATTCGGTATTGCATGAATTTGAAATATTTAATTAACCGATTGTGTACAGAGAAAAATTTAACCTCTTAGTGATAATAGAAAGTATATTCTTATTCGGTTCGAGATTCCATATATTCCATGCAACGGCTATTCGTCAAAGGGGTTACAAAAAGAGAGACAAGGTATAATTTTAATCGAACTACCTCTAAAAAATTCTTTCTATTAAATGATATTAGAATGATATGTTCTAATAATTAAAAGAATGGGAAATTTATGTGCAGCGAAAAATGAAAATTTATATTAATACACACGTTATTAATGTAAATTGAGCTTTTTCTTTTGTAAATTCAAATAACTTTAGTGATAGTTAACGAAGCTGCACATTTATTGCTCAAATTTAAATAATAGATAAGAAGGAAAAAAAATTGGGGAATGCAGCGTTTATTGTTTTTTGTGCTTTTTCTTAAGTTATGTTGTTCATTGCGTATGATTTTTCGCAAAATTTGTTTAGAAATTTTTAAAATATAGGAAATATTCAGATTTCGCTGAAATGGCCGTCTCCGACTGTGCTGATGAAGACATAAAGCATGTTGTTACGAATAACGTTACAGGTCAATTTTTTTGTTTTTTTAATAAGTTCACATCGGTTTCATCGCAATTAAAATTTCGTCTTTTTTAAAAATTTTATAATTTTTATAACTTTTATAATTTTGGATTATTACTTTAAACATTTTTTAATCTGCGAAAAAAGACTAAAATGATTGAAATGTTCTCTATGATTTGATAAGTATACTTGCGAGGCTTCTGGTCTAGATAGTTGTGCTGGTGTTCTTTTTAGAAGTTGATCCATTAATTCAGTCGACAGGCACGGTTTCAACAGGACAGAAACGACAGCGAGAGGACCGTGGAGGTCCTGTTTCCAAAAAAGCTCATGTCGATAATAACAATAATAGTGAAGGTTAACTTATTTATGGTTTATGGGAAAGCCCATAATTGTAAAAAATTTCTATGCATAGATTAAATCATTAAATTATTCGAATCGTTTTTTCTGAAGTAGAGTTAGGTAATATTTACCTGCAAATTACTTTTCATTTTTGATTAGGCTTTGGAATTCGAATTTTTTGTGATGAAATTTGTAAACTTCAGAAACAGTCCAGGTAAAAATGTTAATACCATCAGCTGCGGTTGGTGCATTAATTGGTAAAGGTGGAGAAACAATGAGGAATTTAAAAAATGAATCGGGTTGTAGGCTTCAAATGAGCAAAAATCAAGAAGTTTATCATGGTTAGTACTATGCTCTTGCTGATGATATCGTTGAGATAAATACCCAACTCGCCACTGTTGATTTCACTTATAAAATTTCAGGAACTAACGAGCGTATTTGCTTAGTGAAAGGTAAAATTACATCAGTTATGCGTGTCGCCGGTGTCGTTATGGAAAAGATTCGAGAGAAAGTTGATTCAAGCACACCTTCAGATGTTTACGATCACAAAGGTGTGGAGAGGTCAAAAGAGGTTAGATTTAAATACATCGTGGTCTGTATCCATCCTTTTCATGTATTCATTAATTATACCAGGTTTTCTCCAAATTTCTCATTTGATCTTCCTTTTTTGTAGCTATCCAATCATGGTTATCAAGGCTTTCAAATTTACTTATTCTTAATCTTAAACTTCGAAAATAACCAAAATAACTTCATTTCTTCCTAATTTAATCTTTTGAACCATCGAGGGTCTTTTCACTTTATGTCCCCTGAATATCTTTCTGTGCTTTCAAACCTTCTTGCCACAAGTTTTTATGCCACTGAAAAGTTGTGCCATCATTTTCCAACATTCTTCCCATTTATAATTTATTAGTCCTTTTTTTCTGGTTAATTCTCAATTTCTTCTTTACAGACAGATATTTCAGATGGTGTTTTCATCATAGCAGTTTTAGAAATTCTATCTAATTTATAGGAAAAATTATTCCTTAAAATCTTATTGCCCTCATCAGTTGCAGTTATGTCGCCATATTTTGAATGAGTTTGCAAGTAGCATTAAGTCACCCGTTATCGTCTTTTTATATTATCTCACAAATGGGAAACCTAATCTAAGATTTTTTTTTATATATCTTCTTTCTGCTAAAAAGATCGATTAGGTGACACCTAAAAGTAGAGTTCAGATGAAACTTCTGGTTCCCAATACATCGGCTGGTATGGTGATTGGAAAAAGTGGTACTAGAATTAAGGAAATTCGTGACCAAACTGGTGCGAACATACAAGTTTACCCCAAAGCTGGTAGTCAGGAGGCCAAGGTTAGTCAGGAACGCGTTATAACGATCGCGGCTGAAAGTAACGAAGTACTTATGAATGCAATTGAGAGAGTTTTGGAAAAAGTAGCCGCCGATCCTCAGCATGCAACTACGATTGATTTTAAAGAAAATGATTCATTCGGTGCTCTCCATGGACATACGGCTCAAGGTCAGACAGTCCAGCCATTTGATTTTAACTCGCGCCCAGTCGGCGCCGCTCAGTTCGGTGGTATTCAACAGTCACAGTTCGGACAAATGAATTCGGCTCAAGTCTGGCAGCCCAGTCAGCAGAGAGCCTTAGGTGAGCAGCCGTCTTATTTTCTTTGTAGTTAGAGGACATAGTTAAATTTTTTTACGTTTTTTGTGGTTGTGAACTTTTAAGTTCTAAAGGAAGTTGAAATAAGGTTTTAACTGAAGATACTATTGGTGAGCTGAGTTGGAATCTGTTTATTGAATTATTATACTTTGACTTTGAAATTTGTCACAATTCTACATATCATTTTCATCTATTTTTTATATTATGAGCTTTTTTCCAACGGAAAAAGTTTTTGTTTTTCGCTAGGAACTTTCAGTATGCTAAGTTTTTCCATTTGTTCTTTTTTGTCTAAATTACATTATCTTAGTAGTATGGCGTATTATTTCGTTCTGAGGTCATTGCATACTATGGTTTCATTGATATGCTTATTTTAACTTTTCGAACTTTTCACTGTCTTAATTTTCTTTATATTTTAGGTTCTGCTTATGTCTTCATTCATATTTTGTCCTATTTATTGTCAGAAATGTTTGTACAGTATTCTTTATGTTCTTTTTATATTGTTTAATAGTGATTTTTATAATCAATCATTCGCCTAGAATGACCCCTAGCTTGACAGTATCATTTGATCAGATTTGTTCTTATCGGTCATCACATTTTAAAGAAGTTTGTGGTTGTCCCTTTTCTATTTTTTTAAATTTTTTTTTCTTTGCATATTTGTAAAATTAGAGTTCTGGAATCCTTCTTTATTAGGGCCGAAATTCTCTTGTATAAATTTTATGAACATTTCACAGGTGCCTTCTCACTTTTTTTATATTTTATATAAAAAGAATGTCATGTACTAAGAACATGAAATCGCATTAATTCAGAAAGTCTCATTTTTGTGAAATATCATCATGAATCTTTTTTTTTGTAATTTGATTATTTAATTAAAAAAATCTTGAAATCTGGAAATCTTCCAACGTCGAACAAATGAGAAACAAAAGTTACATATTTGTTTGGAATTTTTATTTTGTTGATTCCGAAGTTCTTGTTGGAAGTAAGTCCTAATTATAAATTTTATTTTATTTGAACTGATTATTGGATCTTGTCATCTTGTTTTTGATGGAAAAATCTATAGATCATTAATTCTAACTTTTCTCTACATTTCTACAGTTTATATTTTATTTTTTTATTTTTAAAAATATTCTCTTTTTTTTCATGGATCACTTTATCATTTATTGAAGATACTTCTTCACTTCTATTGTATCGATAACAGTTCAGAACCAAAGCAAAATCCAATTTTTTAAACTATCTAGTCTTCTTCCAAGCCTGTGTCTGAAAAATTTTCTTCAGGATAGACACAGACATAAACATGGATTTGTTTTTCGTTTCATTTATATTACACGTGATCACTGTATTTAAACATTGTCTTATTGTGGTCTCATCGAACGACTTACTGTTATCGGAATAATTTGTCTTCGAATATTTCATTGTGAACTGTCATTCATTATTCGACGAAAGGTTTTTCTTGCGTTAACAGTCGTCTCCGGTTGTTGAATGGTGTCTTATCGAATGGGGATCCTTTCTTGTTTTTATTTTTCGTCACCAGTAAAATATATTGCTATTCTATCAGTAGTCTTATTAATGACGTCTCAATAATCTATTTCATTTATTATTTATCAGATTTATCGAAAATTTTTGACAAACATTTAAGTTAACTTTTATTTCTTAATTTTTTTAGTTATTAGAACGAAATTGTTTATCGACATTTATTGACGAAATACTTCCTTTTCAATCTTAAGGTTTTCTAGAAGCTTCCTATGGAACTTCTTCGAAAGATATGTACTGTAATAACAGTGGGCAAAGTGGCTTTAAGTTCAATCCAATGCAAGGAGTCGGGAATTCTGAGGTAAGTTTCATATAATTTTTTTCTTTGATGGTACTTCAGTGGTTCTCAAGTTTGCTTTTTGATCCGCGGATTCTTTTAAATTTTTAATATTTAATATTTTATATTAAACAATATTATAATATTATAATATTTAATATCCATTTTAATATAATATTTAATATTAAAACTTTTAATATTTAATATTCAATATTTTTCCATTTAAAATTGAAAGAGACATTTTAAAGGTATCCACCAAAATTTAAAAATAATAGAAAAAAAATTTATTATACTTTAGCACAAATTTGGACACAGATATTTTGAAAAGATTGAAAATTATAAGCTCACACTATTTTAAAAGTTAAGAGCTTAAAATGTTCATTAAAAAAATGAAATTGCTAAAATAGAAAACATAGTCCTCCTGTGTTGATTTGTGAAGCAGTTCACGAACTATTTATGCGTAAAATCCAAATCAAGCTAAAAGAAATGGAATCAAATTCTCATGATATGGTTTTGAACTCCCATTTTTAAGGAAAAATCAGGAATCGCTTTGAAGTCCTGAATTTTACGTAAAGCCAGAGGAATTAATGGAATAAAGAAGCTGCCAAGGATGGATATAGGAAGCGATTGTTAAAAATGGAGGAAACGAACTAGATGTCTAAACAAACTATGGAATACATGAGATGAGAGAAATTGAAGCCAAGAAAGATCTCAGAAAGGAACTAGTATTCTAGAACAATATCATAATTATATTTCTGAAGATGTTTAAGATGGCGCAAAACATGGAAAAATAAGAAGCCTTTCAAGTTTTCTGGATCCCGAAGGAGATCCGAACCTCGAGTTCAAAAAAGATCGAAGGAAAATAAATATAGATATTGAAATAGATGGTACTGCTTACTCGCTAGAACTTCTAGTATTAAAGGATGAGATTGCATCTGTCTTTACGAAGTCGAAAAGCTATTGGATTTGATGGATTAAACTGTGAAATTTGGCAGGTATAAAGGAGAAGAATCAGTTAGTTCCAGTTAGGTTATGTCAGCGAAATTTGGAGGATAGCAGTAACCAATCGACTGGAAGAGATCAATCCGCATTCCAGTCGAAAAGAAGGCTTAATAGAAATATCCTGAGTTTCGCACAAATTTGTATTTAGGATCACAGATTAAAGGTTTGAGTCGAAAAAGAGATGCCAGGTATCCAATCTCATTTTAGAAAAAATCGAAAGAAATATCGCTGATATATGCTACTTAATTGAAAAGCTATAGGATACCAGAAAGAAGTCAATGCTTCATCGACTTTAGGAAAGCCTTTAATTGCATTTCATATTATAGAAATATTTTAAGAAAAATAAAAAAGCAGAACATTTATTTTTCCTATGGGAAATTTATATACGGATAGCCACATTACGGAGAGAATATGGCAAGACAAACTGACTTTATATTGATCCGAATTTATTCGAATTTTTGAAAATTTTCTTTTGCAAGGAGAAGAACCATAGTGTCAATGCTCCGAAACGGGGAGACAGTAGATTAAATTATAAAAATATTTAAATATAAAAATATATAAATTTTAAAGTTAGCCAAACAAATGACATGGTAGACCTTATATTTTATTTTTCTTCACTGACTTTATCCAGGAAGCATTCAGCAGTGCCAGCTGCTCAAGGTGTAATTAAAATCTTAACTATGTGCGCTTGCTCAACCAGTGCAATGTAGCACACTTATTAATGAGCATCAATAAGTCTCTTTCTTTAGTTTAAAAATTCTAATTATAGTAAACTAGTTTTTTCTTTTAAAAGCTGGTCCTTCTTGCCTTTAAAAATTATTCAATTTCTTTTTGAATAAACCTAAAAACGCTGGTCTTACAATTACACCGGCTCGTCATCGTCACGGTATTCGAAATCTCTTGCTTAATCAACGAATTGTGGCAGTGAACATGTTTCAGATTTAACATTCTAAATAACATTAAATATAGGTAAAGAACAGTTTACCGGGTCTAGTTAATACAAATGAGAGATTTTGCTGGTGCTTATGTGCTGAGTTCATCTCTCTTCTATATCCTATAATATATTTTGTCGATTGCAGTTGAGTTTTTCTCATTCAAAAATAAATATAATTACAATGAGGCAAAATTGGTTGAAATAGTTTAACAACAGGCTTCCTGTCAGAGGTAAGAATTAAACAAATGGATGCTTGATCGAAGGGCCTTATCATTCTGCCATATTTTTTTGTTATGTCACAAAAAGTCTGTGAATAAAATCTTCATTTACCAATTTCAGTTTAGACAAACCATAGAGGTTCAGCGTTTTCTTATTGTGAAAACATATTATTGTGGAAAAAATGCGTTATACGTTTATTATATATATATATATATATTGCATATTATATATATTGCACTGTAATATTGTGAAAAATTTTTTCACCTAAGGAGTACTTAGAAGAGTTTCGGAGATCTGCATGGTTCTCCACTCTTCATTTTGAGAACCACTGGTGTACTGTATTCTTCGTTTAATTACTGGATATGGTACCAACATAAGAAATCGAAAGTCTTGTACATAACCGCTGCTTCGTGAGTTTTTTTTTCCAGGGCGAATTATATAGATGGAGAATTTTTTAAACTCGCTGGTCGTATGGTGCACATTAGAATTTTGAAATATATTTCAGCTACTGGCTTTTTTGGACAGTTTGCAGTCAACACTTCGCACTTCTGGTTTTAACGAAACTAGCGTTTCTGAAGTTATGCAAGCTATGCAAGTAAGTTTTTTTATTTTCATCTTTTTCGTTTGTCCGTTATTCTTTTACAATTTTTTGCAGGTGTTGGCAAAATATAACATAATGGGTCTAGGACTTGGCCTTGGTGTTGCTGCTATGGCGCAATTGCGAGGAAGTGAATCATCCAATGTACAGCCATCGATTATGCCTTCTCAGCGATTTGATGGTTCATCTGCGACACAGAATAGTGGTGTGGATAATTCAGATCGCCATTTTGGGAGTCACACTGATGTCAATAAAGTAAAATATTTTGTATAAATTGTATTGGGGTTCTACAAATTGAATTTCCTAAAAAAGAATCTATATTTTGTAATCTATAAATTTTATTTTTTTGTGAGCGGTGGGATTATTCCATTTACTGAATCCATCTATAATAGATTTATTTCTAAATTTATTCGAAAATTCAATATATAAAATTTTATTCTTCAGTAATATTTAATCGCTTTTCTGAAAATTGGTCATCATTATAGCGTCATTTTTCATTTTTTTCGTACATTTTCTGTGGTCGTAACTCAAAATAATACAATGTAACTAATCTGAGATCTTTTTTGCCGTTTCATTTCTGGTCTTTTCCATAATATTTAGAAGAAAACCATTAAAATATAGTTATTTTGACAAAGTCACTTTTAAGCCATGAAGATTTTTTAGTGGTCATGAAGTATTAAAATTTATATGATCTTTAGATTGAGAGATCCAGCTAGACACTGTAAATTCTAGCGATGAAAAACTAGAGCAAGGTTTATATCAACTAACGTCTCTTGACAGTTTAAAAAAAAACTGTAGTAACCCCTTAATTGATGGAAAAAAACAACCAGGAATGTTAGTAAATTAAAATGAATATATTATTTTATGTCTAAAAGCCCTCCGTTAAAGAAAATTATTTGAAGATGTTGGATGATGTGTTAAGGTGGATATCAGATATATCATGTATATACAAGGTTAGAGTAGAGATTCTAATCATTCTGCTGAAAATTCGTTTGGAAAGGAAATACCATGCGACTTCAGTATTTATTTGATAGACATGCATGGTCAGTAGTGTGTTTTGGAGGAAAAATTTTACCAAAAAGAAGATTGAACTGGACAGGGGATTGCGCAAGGAATATTTCAATTATGCCCAAGCTATTAATTTAAATCTTAAATTTTAAATAAATTTTGATCAGAGACTCGGATTTATTGGACATCAATAATAATGAACTGTCTAGCTTAATTAACATTACTTTCTTTCTTGTTCGAAAAGTTTGATTTGGCATAGGCAGAGGTTGTTTTATTAATATTAGGAGTACATAAACTCCGTTTGATTCTTTGTCTAATAATAATTGAAGTAGCTATGAAATCGATGAGGAAATAACTTTTCTTTTTTTATTTGATATCATTTTGTTTCTGGTTTATAATTGTTTAAATTTATTTCGAATTTATATTATAGTTGTTGATTTTAATATTGTTTAAATATTCGAATAATTTAAGTTGTGATACATATAATTCTTAATCTATATATAAAGTAAGAGTTACATGTAATATGTATTCATATTAACGTTTTTTTGCTCTTTTGGAATTCTATCCAGTTATATGCGGCGCGAAGTAATCGTATTACTCCATTATTTGCTGCAAGTTTTCCACATAAATTCGTATTTTTCTGTGGGTGGTTATCTTTGCACATTAAAATAGGTAATGTAAAAAGCTTTTTCAATAATCCATTTGAGCTTCCATTGGTTTAGAGAAGTTGCTGTAAAGAGATTTCCTGTAATTTAGGTTGTAAGAAGGAATAGAACAACCGAGTGTTATTTGAATCATCATTTTGTGCATTCCAGTGAGTTGGGACAATTTTATCATCATTCATTTCATTTAGAAAATCATTTAGAGAACGATGGGTCTTCAGCAGCAGCTGCATTTTTTATTGATTTTATTCCAAAGCTCAAACTGTGTTGTTCGAATTCATTAGGGTTAAATGTAATATGATTTACCCTTGAAATGTTCTCTTTGGCTCTGTTGGTGTTGGCTGTACAGTTTTTATTTTCACATTTGAGTAACAGCATAATCGGTTCAAGATATGGGAACTTGTTTATTTAAGAACTAGCATGATTTCTCATAATGTTTCATTCGTAGCATCAGCTGTGGAATAGATTGCCCTGTTGATATGATTCTGCATCATCTGTGTACGATTTTAAAAATGTCATGCAGGTTCATTCACAATATTATTTGCCACAAATATTTCTTCCATCCATTTTAGCTGTGAAGCCATTAAATTTTGGTTTTATCTTTATTTTATGTTTATACTTTCTGTTGTTATCAACACCCGTTATGTATGAGGTTTGCTCAATTATACTACTGCATTGGTGCGTCGCATGAAATTTTAAGTCTATTCTCAATTTATACCTTTTCAGTCTCTTAGCGGAGTTGGTGGTGTCCTTATCGATGTCCTCAGTCAAAGTAAAGTTGGTGGTGGAGCGCCGAGTGGGCCTAACTTCGCATCGACTGTAATAAAAGAAAAGCTTGTGGATGCTGATCATGTTGAACTTGAAGTACTGCTTGCTTATGTAGCTATGATTTTATTGTTTCGAGTATTTGTGTTTTTTTATAAATATTTTGAAGGTTCCTGATGCCATAGTAGGTGCTGTTTTGGGTCCAAAAGCAAAAACTTTGGCGGAAATACAACATTTGAGTGGATGTAAGGTGGAAGTCCATAAGCGTGGACCAGTTGCTGGACAAGGAAATCGTTTAATAAGGTACATATTTCTTATGTGTTTGTATTAAATATGATACAGCAAATTTATTCTCTGATGGAATTCTTTCCAAATTTTATCTGTTTTAACCATGATGACACAATTTGAGTTGAACGAATTATCCTTGATAAACTTATGTAATTTTTGCTTATTTTATTGAGTTGCATTTTCCTTCTTATTATGAAAAAAGATCTTAATATGATACTAATTCTAATACTTTATATTTCAGTACTTTTCATGGCTTAAGGCTAAAATGTTATGAATTGTTTATGTTCTAAAAAATATTTTGTAGTTTAACTGGCAGCGCAGATTCCATTCGTAACGGTCGGTTAATGATCGAAAAAGTTATCAATGATGAACAAGCACGTCGTAATCAGCAAGGTCATCATAGTCGTGGATCATTTATCTAGCAGCACATTGAATTTATAAGCTATAAGTTAAATTTAAAATTATGTTTTGCTGTACGTATTCTCGCCAGTGATTTTGAAAGACACATTTACACATTTTTATTCATTTTACAGATTGTATTTTTTACGTTCATCTGTTTTCAGTTCTGTGGTATTAAAGTTTAGCGCCAAAAATTGTTGTTGTACTTCTTAAAATTCAGTATTTCCCAATTTTTTTGTGGCTTGGAACTAAAACAATGGTTTAATTTTTGAAACCATCTTGTTGTCAAAATTTTTAATTTTGGATTTGTTTGTGAGGCCAGGCGCGTTTTTGGTTCCTTATAAAACAGTTGACATGGGAAATCCTGCTTTAATTTATCATCAGTTTTTCTTAATTTTTGTTGTTATTTTGGTGATTATTATTTACATTGCAGGTTCATTCGCTACTCCTCAGATCTTATTGTCTAAAGATTGAATTGAAACATTAATTATGAAGTCGTTGCTAGAAGTAAATTATATTTGTTCTCGATTAAAATCGTGAATACTAGTTTTTTCCGGAAATTTGATCTCAGGCCAGAAAAAAAAGATGTTTAAGTTATTTAAATTCATTGTTTTGGCCTGCGATCCCATGAAGATTATGTGTTGTTGAAAGTTTTATTAAATTTATACGGCGAAAGACGGTGAAATTCTACTTGAATTCGGCCGTTCTTATTTTCTATTGCTTTCAGAAATGATCTTTCTTGTTTAACGTCATTATTCTTATAAGAATCATTTGTTTCTAAATTCTCATTTTTTTGAGTTATTTTTGTAAATCGTAACAAATCAAGTGGTTGCTAAATTGGAATTTGTTGAGTGGTTTGTTTTGCAATAAACGATTTTGTATAATTTTGGTTATTGATGTTAGGATGTTTTAATGTAATTTTAAATAAAACTTTCACAAACCACTGAGTCATTTCGTTTCTCAGTATACTATTTGAATTCTTGATGGGCGATCGTCATTTTTTGTAGTGGAACGTTGTGGCTTTGTTGAAATCATGCATAAACATCAGGCAGAGAACGAAATAGTTAAAATAAGCCTTCGGAGAAACCTTTAAATCTGAGGAACTGAGATCTTGCAGATATTCGAAGCATTAAGATCTCTCATATTTCGAGTTGTTCACGGCCATAATTCGGAGTTAGTGATGGTTGACTGTGGTATTTTCATTATACGATGCATGTCAAGGAAGAAATATTTTTGAAAGCAATATGCTTTTCAAGTGAAATTATATTTTATTTGAAATGATGCAGTCAAATAAAAGAATTTAATTCAACTGCTGTACAGAAAAAGGATTTATACCACTACGAATTTGCGTTGGGAATACGGCGATTCTCCTTCCAATATTCTCCCTTTGCAAAAATTCCTTTTGGGAATCCGCTCCACTATCTTTTTTCTTTATAGATTTAGCCTTCCTGCCACTTTTATTTCTTATTAATATTATAAAATTGCATTAAAACATTCTAACATCCTAACTCCTAACTCATCCTAAAACTCTGCGGCCAGCGTTCTACTTCTTGCTTTTCTCGTTGCGAACCTCAAACTTGGGTAATTAAACCTTTATTAGTAAAGATGCAAATATATACAAGAAAATAAAGCGAAGTAATTGCCTTACTACAAAGAAATAATATAGTATATAATATAATATATAATAATATAAATAATAATAAAAAAAATCAAATATAAAATCTTAATGCCCATCATTCACCGACCGCTCTCCCACTCGTTTTCCCTTAAAAGAACCACAAAATGACCAAAATTGATCTCTTGGGAGCTTATATTTAATTTAAGATAGGCGAGAATCCGGATGACCTGCTCAAATTTACAGTTTTTTTCGTCATTCGGCGACACCTGATAAAATCTGGTATACATATAAGTACTGCTATGAGCAAGCATCCCTATCAGTTTCCATTTTGGCTTAATAAGATAAAAATGATCTCGATTATTCTTAAGAATTGATTCATTTATAAATTCTTTATTATTATTAAAATATGCATCTTCCATCAAATCATCACAAATTAAAATTGAGAACCTGTCCATGCACGCTGTTGACACAAAGGAAGATCGCTACAATAAGAATAAAGAATCTGACTTGTTTAAATGAAGGTTCTCTCTTTTGCACAACTGCATGTTGAGTTTTTTGTTTATATGGGACTTAACACATCTGGGAACCTCTCTGTTCCTTATGACCATCACAACCTGATACCCTAATGGTGTGTTTGGGTGTGTAGAGTATTCCTTAGAGATGGCTTCCTCTTCCTCCGCAATTTCTAGAGGGTATAGGACCGATACTGGTCTAATTAATTCTTTACCATTGGTGAACCTAATTTTTACCGATCTTATGAGGATTTAGAGTTTCTCCCTGAAACTCATCATTTACTTCGACGTTTCTAGCCAACTGCTAGATCCTTCTATTTTTGTTCTCCTCACACAGTAAAACGACGACTTCATTTACTTTTGGGCTTCTATTCACATTTGAACGGGGATTGCAATACTGACGGCTAGCATTTTCCCAAAGTAGGTTGATATAATCATGCCGCCACACTTCCCAAAATCTTTGGAGTAATTTTTTAAATTCTTTCCATCCTTTTAAGAGCACTACAACTTTCCGATCTGCCATAGTCTTCATCCTTATCCTTATTCAGCAGTAAATAATTTCTTATTCCCTGCATTCCTGGACAAATCAAATCAATAAGGATAATTTCGCCGGGTTCTTCCATGACATATGTTAATGGTCTCAACTAAACAATGTTTTCCACTTCCACTAAAAGCGTTCTCAATTCTTCTTCATGTAGCAATTTTCCGCCTACCATTTTCTTCATTGCCATTTTCGTTATACCAATCGATCATTCATAAACTCCTCCTTGCCAGGGCCCATGTGGCGTTATAAATTTCCAATCTACGCTCCCTTCCATCAGTTGGGATAGTTGATGAACCACACCTGGCTGAGAACCTACGAAATATGTGGATGAAGGCAGCTGCTGACAAATCTCAGACTATTTCCAAATGACTATTGGAATGATATGGCCTTGAGAATGGAGATGGCGACTCGATCAGGCGATAATTGGAAACTACTTCCGCCTTCTTTATAAAGCAACCATAACTCGGGGAACGATCAGTAAAATAGTAAGAGACAGCAATGGCGTACTAATTAAAAGTATTAAGGACGGCCTCATAAGATGGAAAGAATTCTTTGAGGCCAAACTTAACCATGAAGCGCCATCTGTTGCCCCTGATATAGCTGATACGTTTGCCGAAGCATACGTTTGCAATTGCGAGCCTCCAACAGAAAAAGAAATAATTTCCGTTATCCATAAGCTTAAGGCCAATAAGACTCCGGGAGAAGATGGTCTTCGGGCTGAGCTTTTCAAATGTTGTCCATCGTCCTTCATAACGCACTCTCACCAAATGTATTTTCTGGTACGCAAGAAAGAAATATTACCAGATGATTGGAGCAAAACAATTCTGCCCCAATTTCCAAGAAAGGTGACAGGACATATTGCGAGAATTATCGAGGAAACCTACTAGACGTCTCAGCGAAAATTTTTGCTTCCATTTTTCTCAATTATACATGAAAAGGATTTTATAGCAGTATGGAATTCATTGGGAGCAAGGCGATTCCCACTCCAATATTCTACCTTTACAACAATTCCTTTTGGGAATCCGCTCTACTATCTTTTTTCTGTATAGATTTAGCTTTCCTGCTACGCGGGACTTTTATTTCTTATCATTATTTTAAAACTCTGCGGCCAGCATTCTACTCCTTACATTTCTCGTCGCGAACCTCAAACTTGGGTAATTAAAGTTTTATTAAACTTTATTAATTAAACTTTTCATTTTATAACTTTTATATAAACTTTTATTAGTAAAGTCACAAATATATACCAGAAAATAAAGCGAAGTAATTGCTACAAAGAAATAATACAGTAAAAAAATCAAATATAAAATCTTAATGCCTATCACTCAGCGACTCCCTCACTCGTTTTCCCCTAATAGAAGCACAAAATTGATCTTTTGGGAACTTATATTTTATTTAAAATTGGCGGGAATCCCGATGACTTGCTCAAATTTACAGCCTTTTTCGCCATTCGGCGGCTCCTGCTTAATTCAGTTTTATTTGTGGATTTTCAAATTACTCGATGAAATAAGGAGAAATATGAAAGAAATTATTAATTAAAGTTGGTCGCAAAAAATGGTATTTTAGGTTATTTGTCAAGAAATGCGATTATGCTATTTTAAAATGAAATATCGAACAACATTAATCGCTCAATCTGAAATGCCCATCTTTGTCAATGCAATATAAGAACTATCGTTGCGATTTGTTCTTTTTTGAGTATATCGCATCGTATGCTTCAATTACTGCTATTTTCTTAGCATATCCGTTTAGTTTAAATTTAAGTTCATTTTAAGATTATGCAAATTGAAACATTGACGCTATACGTTGCAGAGATAATTTTGGAGATTTGTCGATTTCTCCATTTTCGATTATTTTCATAAAAGCTAATCGTAATTATATATCTTTGAAAAAAATTTCAGTGCAAAAATGTGAAATTATTTGTTGGGAAATGATGTTCCTTTAAGTTCGAGAATTCGGAACTGAAGTACGCGCAAGAGAAAATTTCGTATTCCGTGAGATATCATCGTTATCAGTAGTTCAACTTCGAAAGAGATAAATAATGAATATGAAGTGGGTTTAAAATTGGTTTAATTTAGCTTTTAGGCGAACTCCATTATATCAATGAGAAGCTAGGCCCTTAGATTTCACGAGTCAATATTCAAAATCATTTGGTATCCATAAGGCTTTGGTAAAGATTTTTAATAAAAGCCATAAATTTTGTCAGTATACGAAAAAAAAACTCACTAAAGAATTGTAAATAATTTGTTTCAATTAGATTATCATTGCTGAGGAAATGAATATAAATGAATGAAATGAATATACACTGTGCTAGCGAGAGCCATAATACGAGCAAATGATACACAAACCACTGAGCGATCCAATCCTAATTCTAAAAAATTGTTTAAAGTTTTTATAATTTTTTATAATTTACTGTTAATTTAATCATAAGTTTCTCGAATTTTTGCCATATTTTTACATTTTAACGCAATAATATTGCTGTTAAAATGAAAAAAATTGATTCCTAATTGAATTGAAGTTTTTGGTAATTTTTGGTATGTCTTTTATTATATTATTTTTATTACATTATGTTGAAACCTTTATAACTGATAGCAAATATTATTTTTGAAAAAGCTTCCATATTCAATAGAGTAATGATTAAATGAAAAATTTGCAAAATTCGTAAAATTTAAATTTAAAATATCCGCAAAATTTGCAAAATTTTATGGAAACTACGAATCTTTTGAAATTAATTTTATAAATAAATATTTCAGTTGTGGCGTACAAATTGTTCGACAAATAATATCGCCTAGGCGTTCATTGCTATTTCGCATGTAATCTTTATTGATGATCTGAACGGATTCGAATTCGCTTGAATGTTTCGAAATACCACTTTACGCTTTTTATAATTTTATAGTAATTTTACCATATGTATATAAAACTTGGCATTTTATGTATTTATATATAAAAGCGTTAAATATTATACTTAACATCGTGTTTTACTTGTAAAATTTTATAATATTTAAATTATCGGTATCTTCATTCTATTTTTTTATTTTTTTATTTTTGAAGATTTTGTCTCAAAAATTTTTTCTTAATGCTCTTACATATTATATAAAATCTAATCATGGTTGGCTGTGGAAATAAAATGAGGCCTGGCTCACTTTCAGCTGCGCTTATGAAAACATCTTACGAATTTTCATTGGTTATTTTAGTGCGTAAATTTTGAATGAGGCTGGAGACCTTATGTTTATTTTTCTATACCCACGAGGCTTTCTGCCCACGCTTCTCATCCTTCAACAGTGGAAAGAGCTTAACCAGAATTGATGATCGTTGATCGCTTTACTTATATTTGATAATTAATATAGCTTATATTGCGATCCAACAAATGTTCTTTAAGAAAGATTTACATTGGGAATAGATTCCGAATATAACACAAACACATAGCCAGATCAGATTTGGATTTATCATGGATTTTTTATTTTTGATGGAGATTTTTTTTTTATTATTGCGTCTATACATAATTTTTCAGAAAGCAAATGTAAAATGAGGTGAAGGCGGTATTCATGAGAATAAATGTCACAGCTAAATATGAATGTGTGAAACTTCTTCATTAATTTCCACAAAATTGTTTAAAATTATTTGGCAATCAGAAGCCATTAGTGCTTTTGAGTTAACCTTTCAGATAAAGTTTTATTTCTTCAGTCCGCTTGTCCCATATTTTTAGGAGCACGTCGATATAAAAATATCGATGGCGTACTTTCGTCTTTTGCTGAAATTGGTATTTTTTCGATTGTCATCGTATAATCGTTATTGATGATCTACTTGTTGAACTTGCTATAGTTAATCACTATGGTGAATATTAGAGCAAAAAGAGCTTTTTGTATATTTAACATAAAAGTGAAAATGTCATGCATCTTTATTGTATTTGATCAGTCATGTATGGCTCACTATTTAGAAAAAAACTTCACTTAAACCAGTGAAGTTGGAAATTACGAAAGCGACTTTTCTATGTTTCCAATTTCAAAACTGTCATAATTGTTCCACATAAATAGAAAACTATCATCTGTCAACTGCAGTCAAGATGGTGCATTATGACTTGTATTTCAGGGCTAAATGGTTATATATTTAAGCAAAATTTAGAAACAAAATGATGTATTTTATCAAAAGCTAAATTTAAGGAGAAAATATATATTTAATATAAGCCATATTTTGCGTGAAAGATGATGCATTTTAAAAATATATTCAAGCATAAGTTTTTTTAAACTTCCAGAAATGATAGTACTATGGAAATACTAATAAGTTCCTACTGTTTCAAAGTCTCATATTATATTTGTGTTTATTATCTGGTCTATGTATTTCGGCATTTTCTAATGGAATACTGTACTTATTTAGTGAGTAATGGTGCATCGTGCATAAGGAATGGAGATTGAGGAATTCACACATTTTGAATTCCGATAACCGTCTGGTCTAATTCTTCATTTAGTAGATTTTTAAGATATCAGACAATCGATAAATAAATGAATAAATGAAAATATAGAAAAAAATCAAAAGATAACTGACAGAATTTTTACTCTAAAAAAACATTGAAATAAATGGATATTTTAATATTTTGCCATTTCTAATCAGTTTAGCCATCGAAATATTATAACATTTTTATAGTTTACCAATTGCTTACATAGCACCCGCAATATTTTTTTATGAGTATTTCATTATATTTGATTTTCGGCATATTGTTAAGAACACATGAGCGTATACAAATACAACCAAATCAGACAAAAAAGAGAAAGCAAAAGATTTTTTTAGATTTTTTATAAGGCAAAAGTGGTAGAATGGTTAAGGGCTCAGACTACAGTGTTGAGAGGAAAGGAGTAAACTTGTCACTAAAAAATCGGGATGCTGCTGGCGACTCGCCTACTATACTTCTATCGCTATTTTTCAGACCAATTATTCGATGAGGTCAACAAAAGTGTACAGAATTATCGAATAGGATTTTACTTGGCCTGAGAACGGCCGACATAAATTCGATTCTATGCCTTTTGATAAAGTGATATTTCGACTCAAAGAATTAAAACTGAACATGTTCAATAGAAGCAATAAAGGCTTTTCTCCATTTATTACCATTAAATGAAATTTTGATTGAATTGAGGCTAGGTTGGGCGGCTTGGATTTCCTCATACTATCCATACTAATTAATCCAAATACTTATTTAATAAAGATATATATTTTTTTGATCAACTGTAAGAGTCCAGCTAAACAAATTACAAGTTTTTTTGTCATTGCTAGCATAAATCATAGATCATTTGCTTGATTTGCTATTAACTACTTTCTAGATTATTCTTTGTTCATTCAACTGTTTACTATTTAACCAAAGTATTTGAATCCAATTTTTTTATCTAGCTTGCTTATAAATCCCAACAATTTTTTGTTTCGGAAAGGCACTTATATTATACTTATATATTATGGCACACATCTGATAAAATTTTGCATTATCTCTCTCTTACATTCTTTCCGATTTTATTATCAAAGGCTGTGAATTTAAATGATAAATAAATTGGGCTGAAAGCTGGTTTAAGATCACTTATGGATCAAAAACACAGTTTCATAATTATTAATAGCTTTTCTGACGAGTCACAAGGAAGTAGTTAGTATAAATAGCTGATAAGACCATACATTGAAAACTTAGACAGTGATAAGAAATAAAGACGTAAAGATAACGAACAATTTTTTTTACTGATTTACGAGATCATCCTTAATTCCATTAGTGGTGAATGACGTATTACTTGCAATGAATCTCCCAAATGATCAAGCTTTTCACTTCTTTCTTTTTTATCTTCTAAAGACAGTTGTTCAAATAAAATTTATCTAATACCATGAAGCATCAGAAGTGATAAGAAGTGCAAATATATTGCATATTAATTTTACAAAAATAAAATGTGGCGTCTTAACAATACAATTAATTGTATTATGACATATTTAGCTTTTAATCCAGGTTTTTACAACTTCGGCTCAACAAAAAGAGGGCAATTGTTCATAGCTATTTGCCAGCTCTAGCTCAGTTACCATTCTTTTAGTTTGTATAAAACTTCTGAAACGATTTTTACTATTCCAATTTTAAGGAAAGAAAAGTGAAACAATAGTTACTCGTTTTGTCGCCAATAATTTTTCCTACAATCGATAAATATCGTAAAGAAAATAAAACTAACTTAGTCAACTAATGAAGAAGTAGATTTTATGAATCAAGTTACTTCGTGAAGATGCTTGTTTGATTAAGATCATCGTCATTTTTAATAGCGAAATGAAAATTTAATGATAGCTAAGGTAAGTAAGTCAAGAGACTGCTTGATTAATAATGTGATTCTATATGCAATTAGGAGAAGGAGAATACATAGTAACAGCAACTCCAAGTGGGAAAATATACATAAATATATGCTCTTAACAAACTTTAAGATAAAACTCGAGACTCGAGGAGGAGAGAGGTAATTTGAGAAACAAATGAATTAATTTCAGTGGCAATCGACGACAATTAACTAATTTTGTTTGTGGTCATTGAAAAAATTGTACGATTTATTTTGTACGTAAAATTTATTTCGCAAAATTTAAACGAATCTACGATTTCCGAAACGGTATTGCTTAAATGAATGAAGAATTATCGTCCGATACTCTTCTCTCGGCATACTGGTCATTTGTTTATTCATCTGTTGTACTTTAATCATCAACTTTATTGAATTACTTTGACGACATAATGCATTCTTTCAGATGACAATTAATTATCTAGCAAATCTGACTATTTTATTAATTTTTCTTCTTGCTACGATTCTACGTGCACAACCGATACTAATAAAAGTAAGTTTTCAATAATTCAACTTTTCCCGAATGACCAACCACTAAATTCGTCCTCAACTTAGCACTTTTCATATGTTGTTCAAGCGAGAAGATAAGCGATTTGAAGGGGCTAAATTCTCGAATTTGCACTTATTTATGTCCGGTACATCATGAATTTAACTTATTTATTGATCGAAAATTTACCTATTTTTACCTGTTATGATCAAAATTATTGGCTTCTCTCGATCGATCAGCGACTGCTTTAAGTTGATTTTCTTACAATAACTGGAAAATGATAGTGATTGGCCAATCCTTGTTCGAATTAGGTGCCCGGAATGGTGATTCTTCTCGGCCGTAATGGTTGTTGATTCCCGATCTTAACGGTTCCACTTCAGGTTAGGTTAAATAAAATTAATTAATCATCCAATCATTTTTGTGCTAAAAGTGAAAAGTGTAGTGAACCATATGGTCTGTGGACTTCGCTTTAAAAGGATAGTTTATTATTTGTTGATTTTAATATCACTGCCATTGATAGGTCACTGTATTCATAATTTCCTTGATCTGAAGAGAATCGGGGCAACTACTGATAAACGAATAAACTAATTACTAATAAATTAACTAATTAATTTGAAACTATGAAGTGATCCGACGGTTTATATTCTGAGTTTAAAGGATTCTACTTATAGAAAAATGTAGGAAGTTATTTGTTTTAAATCGTTGCTGATGATAAATCGCTGTATATCCCACAATTTTCATTTCGCAACTTGATAATGATCCTTCATCCTAAAATAAAGGCACAAAAAAAATTATTTCAGTAACGAACATTCGAAAATTTTATAAAAAGATAAAGTAGGTTTCAGAGCTTTAAAGCAGTTCCATCAAATAAGGTGATTATTTTAGGATATACCCGAATCAAGTGCGTCGTGGGAGCAGGATGAACAACTGCCCTTTGAAGATTATGAGGAAATTGTTCAGCCAATGAAAATACCGAAGTTGCGTAGAGAAGAAAAGATCGCAAAAATTTTAAAAACTGGACAAGATCGAGCGCGAGAGCGTTTGTATACTGTACATCCGCGGAAAGGTAGTTTTTTGACATGGCTCTCAAGATTCTTTGCAATTCCATTTTTGTCCGTGTGGTATGCTTCTTTTTTTTAAAGAGCCCTCACTATTACTGTATAAACTCGCTCCGCTGGTCGTGCTAGACAAATATGCTAGGAAGTCCCGGCGATAGAAGTGCTGGTGAGTCACAGATTTATTCCTGCGGGGAATAGAACCTCAGCATCGGTGCTCCGAATTGAACAATAGCCCTTTAAGCCATTCTGCCTCCAAATGCTTCTACCACAACCTGTGCTATCCCATTAGTATATTGCTTAAACAAATGAAGGCATAATCGATTCTTTTCCACAAATGAATGAAGTTTTATAGTCAGAAGAAGAGTGCGATATCTAAATAAGGAACCTGTGTGGCGCAGGGTGGTACCGCTACCAACAAAACCGCTCCGTGGACCTTTACTTGCACTTCCAATAACAGAGTGTCCAAAACGTTTTGATGCCGTCACTAGAGGTTTTTTTTGCTAGAGCAACATTTTTTGAGCAATTCTTTTATTATTTTTGTAAATTTTGTTTTAAATCCAGTTAATAACAGCTTTCTTTGTTCGGCTCGTAGTTGCCAATTATATAAGTTCTCAAATTCATTATTAATTTCTAGCACATAATGGGCGAACATATTTGTTTTCCCGCGATCGAGTCTATCAGGTGTGGAGAAAGGATAATCTTCACCAACGTTCATCGTATCATATCAACGATCTATTTGTTGATGGTCCGCGTACGGTCACAGTTGCATATACAAATTTGCGAAGTGGCGTCACTATTCTGATCGAGCATTCAACTGTTTATAGATTTCGATGGAATAGGAAGGCCAAAAGGTTTATGGTGAGACTTTGGTGCTTATAAATTCATCCAGGTTTTTTTTAGGCCTTCGAAGAAAAAAATTATGGAACAGTGCGACGCTGTTTCATTTGAAATTTATATTTGTTGTTATTTATCGCAAAAAATTATCATCAAAGCTTAGATGGCCAAGAAAAATCCCTTAACGGAAGTTTCTGATTTATTTTTCTTCGGACGTTCATAATTTTTAGCGATTTAGATAGCAAGAAAAAGCCCGCAACCTTTACATGAATCCGCACAACTTCAGCCACGAGTTGGATTTCAATGGATCGATGGTAATCAAATTCTTATGGAGGTAAATTAATGAAAAGAGCTAGGCAATTCACAGAAATCATCGCATACGAAAATCTTAGCATATTGGAAGATAGAGATGGGATGTCAGTGAGCTCTTTTAACTAATACAGTGACATCCGAACGATCATGCATAAGCGAAATTTAACGTAGGGCCAAAAAGTAACTAAATTTCTTATAAAAAAATAATCATTATCATGTATCAGAAATTTTTGCCATAGTTTCCCAAACTTCTTTAGCCCACAAATTTTTCCAAAAAAAATTTTTTTAGCTTTATACCTCAGGAATATCTCAACTAATAGGTATTAAAATTTGAAGCATACCTAAGTTTGTAATTTTTAAATTTATATAGGTGCAGATGTGGTGATATTGTGTGTGTAATTTTTGAACTTCGTATGGCTAGGTATTTCTGTATGGTCAAACGGATGTTCGCTTAAAAGCCTTGGGTTAACAGTTTCCCTCTAGATTCATCAAACGCCCACAGCCAAATGGTATCGCACATTTTGCGAAAAAAGTTTTTAAATTGCCAAGTATCGTTATTTCAGAGTGACAAATTCATAACTTATGATGCCTATTGGAACTTCCCAACATTCAGCGGAATAGCTAGCAATTATTTTCCGAATCTTCCTCGAGATATTATCGGAATGGCCTATCAAGATGGCTCATCATTTTTAATTTACACTGCTTCAAATAAAATCATGGTAATGAGAAAAATTTTATTATGAAAAAATTATGCCCAAAAATATAAACATAAGCAAGTATGTAAAATAAGTGGTTAGCGCTCACTTTATAGTTAGCTAATTTCTTTTTTCCACGGCTGTTAGTACGGCCAGGAGTTTTCAACGTATGAGGAACTCGAGAAGTCCTTTGCTGGAGTCAACAGGCAGAACAGGTATTATACTTTTTTAAAATTTTTTATAAAAACATTTTCACTTGGCAATAGAAATACAGACGGTTGATCAGCATCACCTGGATTTTCTTTGATGAAAGGCTTACTCCTGGAGTGGGGAAAGAGAAGAGCAAGATTCCTTCTCTCTCAGTGAAAGAGAAATGACCTGAACCGCGATATACTCGGTTATCCTCTCTTATGCCTAAATGTAGAAACAAACTATAACTTTTTTTAGAAGTCTGGCGATTATGATTTCTAAACTGGTGATCTGCAAAAGACGAAATTTTTAAGAATTTTTTATAAAATTTTTTAAGTCATCACTTCGCAGTATAATGCAATATGTCGTAATTTGAACTTTAAAAATATGCGTAAAAATAAGTAGCAAATTTTAGGTTTATAGCCTAAAAAAGTACCGTGTGGTTCAAGAGTTACCGATAAAAGTCAACGAATTCGTTGGTTGCAGAAATGGTACTTAAAAAGAATATGCCAAGATTTCTTATGCGAATATTGCCGGTGCTAATGAAAATAAAATGCTCTTTTAATTTTATATGGAAAATTTTTATTTTAAATCTAGTTATCGGGAGATTTTTAAATCACTTCTTTAAGCATTTTAAAAAACAAAATTTTTGATTTCTTGATTATTTTTATGTAGGCAATTTTTGTTTAATTCATTTAAATGAAAGTGAAAAGCAAAAAAAAGAGAGAAAAAGCGAAAAAAATCTGTTTTATACTAAATTCCATTTTTAGTAATTCGAAATTTTTTGCTCAAAAAACTACTCCTCAAATCAATGCACTCACTACCTATTTAATTTGTCATTTCTCATGTTATTTTCCTTTCGATTGGATTTAAAACATTGTGACCACTGCCTTCAACAATTTTTGATCCGTTGGTTGATTCACCAATTAGGAAAAAATGGGCAAGGCTGAGGATTCATCAAGCTATTGAAAATGATATTTCAGAATTTAATGTCAAGAGTAAAATTTAAAAAAAAAATGGCAAAAAAATCTTTCTAAAGCTTTAAAGCTTATTTCTCTTGAATCTTCCTTAAGCATTGCCAATTGTTTTCTTCATATACTGTTCAACGTGATAGGGATTATCCGTGAAATTAAATACTGGATGATCGATAAAATTTATCTTGCACTGATTCGTAATGCAATTACCGGCATATTCAAGTTCGAGGAGAATTATAATGTTATTCCGTCTCAAGATTGGTGCAGGAATGTACAAAGTCACCTAAAAACAATAAATATCTGGTTCTATTAAATTTGAAATGGAAATTTTATAGGCAAAGCAAAAAAAAGTATTATTTGCGATAATACGTTGAGGGAATGTGATTTTTGTAATATTTCAGTGAATATTTAATTCCAATGTTATTTTTTGGTATTGCATGAATTGTCTCAGCAAATTTGGTTCTCTTTTCTTAAAAGGGCGGCCGATTGGTTATTAGATTATCATTTCGAGCATTATAGTTATTAGATTATTAGATTAGGTTATTAGATTATCATTTCGAGCATTCGTCCTTTGTCCTTGATGAGAGTGAACTTTTCATTAAAAATCAAAAATCTTTAAAAATCCAAGTGGTGCAGCAAACTTGCCTGCCCTTCTATGCCCAAATGACTTCGCAAAATCGCATATTTACAATACCAGTCAAAGCTTAATCAGAAATGCTCCACATATACGATTTTTTATTGAATTAAAAACAGAAATAGAGAATATTGCAATGGTACATCTAGATGCACCATTAAACAGGCAATTAGAAAAAAAATTAACCTGTGGGCCTAAACTCGGCCAGTATCGGCCAATATTAAAGCCATTGATCATCACTTGACCTTTGCCCCATCCTGTTGGGTCGAAGAATGTGTCAACAACTGGATTGGCTTTAAATGTTCCAACGTAGACTCCAGGATTATTTTTTTCATTATTCTTTATTGTCTACAAATATATTTTAAAAGAAATGCAGAAATCAAAGGCCTTTTGCATGTTATCTAAAATGGAAGCCTTATCTATGGCTTAGGCTTGAATCAAAGGACTAAATTAATTAACTAAATAAGGTGGGAAAATTCGAGATCAAATAGGTCTAAAGGAGGAATTCACCGAATTCAGGATTAAAGTTTCATAAAAATTCACTTTGGCTCGATTTAGCTGGCGATAAAATATATTTCTACCAGGTCTGCGCAATTGTCGATAAATGGCTTTAAGTGTAATGCCACATTGAACCCAATCATCAAGTATATGACCGTCTAATGTGACATTGGAAAGAATACCCTATAAATGCAATAGCACATTATTTCCATAAAAATATGCAACAAAATTGCAATTTTGAATTTCAATTGTAACTTTCAACAATTTTTAATGTAGGACTAACTTTAAAGTCATTTATGGTTTCATACGTTTGTCGGCCACGATTTTCCACTAAAATAACCAAGTTACTGCCTATCATTGCATTCTTTATAATCATCCAATTCTTGGAATAATTGCCAAGAATGTTTACGAAAACTTCCTGAAAAAAGTGGAAAAATATTAGGAGGACAATAATATGCATAAGGTAGGATAGCTGAGTGTTTGTTGCCCAGGTTATCGTTTTTGAGCGTCATGGATTCGGATCCTCGGTACATCCGACAGAGTAAATCTGCCATTAAAAATCCAAATATTAACACCGCATCTTTCCTTTTATCTAACCAGAATTGAAGCGCGTTGTTTGAAAAAAAATTAATCTAATGAAAAAATTTGCGAAATTCAACTATAAAATTAAAAAATAACTTAAAAAACGGCGAAACGATAATGCCTAATTATACCTGAAGTTTTCCATCCAGAAAAGTAAATCCATGATCTTTTATTAAAGGAATTGTTAAATTTGAGCCAACAATTTTTAGTTTAGTCGAGTAAAGGACAAAACCTAAACAAATTTTGAAAGAATATTTTAATAAAAAAGAATATTTATATTTTAATAGAAGAATATTAAGAAGGAATATTTGTATGAATTTCTTGACATAGCAAAATGCTGTAAAATGCGGAGTGATGGAAGAAGATTAATTATCTATTAACTGGCAGATTACCGAGTGGATGATGAATATCTTCAAAAGATTTCGGATAAGTTGATTTGATACAACGACTAAATTGGGCAATCGCTCGATGATCACTGATTTCAGTTAATCTGCGAAGATTCACTTCACCATATCCAATTTTTCTGAAGATCTTCGATTAAAAATAAACGATGAGAAGGAACAATGGATTGAAAGAAATTTGTCATTAAATAAGATGAATAAGAAATTGAATTAAATTGAAGCTTCATCGATGAGCACTCAACAATTGATCAGATCTATGCTTTTTTGAATGAGAAACTCATAAAAAAACTTTTATTTATTATTATTATTACTATTATTATTATTAATTATTTATATTATTAATTGTTGTTATTAATTATTATTATTAATTAGTATTATTACTAATTATTATTATTAATATTATTTATTATAAATATTATATTATCATTAATATTATTCTTGATATTATTATTGTTATTATTATTCATTATTATTCCAACAATACTGAATCAGAAATGCACCATTCCAAACATCATAGGATCCAGGACCAAAAATCTGGGTGATGCTGCTGTTAGTTCTATCACCAAAGGATTCCCTGGAAAATTTACCTAGTGCGACAAGCCAGAGGAACGAGTCTAACCAGTAATGGCAAGTGCTTTTTGAAAAAAAGAAAATAATTACGATGAAAAATCTTGAATGAAATCGCAAAAAATAATAAAATGAATTAGTTTATAAAGTTTTACATACTGCAAAATCGCTTAAAAATGTAAATTATAGTTACAAAGTATTCCTTTCTTAGTCTAGAGCTAAAGATGAATTGATTTAAAGAATCATACGGATTATTTTCCGGAATATCAGTTGGACGATTAGGCCAATCCGAAACAGTTTCCAACCAATCTCTTATCGCAATATACTTCGGAGTAATATCACCAGCTTCAGAAATGGGAGCAGTAAAATCATAGGATGTTATTACCTATAAAATAATTTAAAACAAAAAAAATGCAAAAATTTGCCTCAAGCAGGCTAGATAAAAATTATTAATAAACAAATCAGTCGATCTAAGCCAATCCTATTTAAACTAAAATCTACCTGAAATAATTATTTGAATGATGGTCCGAAATAAATAAAATTTTAGAACCGAATCAAAATTGGATTTCTGATATTCGCTCAGGCATCAAAATTTGTCTCCCACAAAAATTTACTCTTTTAAGCGAAAACAACGTGAACTCTTGATGGTTCTTGCAAAACTTAATTTTCCATAAGGAGAATAAAGTTTTGAAATGTGATCTGACAATTAAATAAGGAACTTACTGGAGCTGCAACTTCAGCTCCATTCCAAAACCCAAAGTTTGTTCCACCAGCGAACATGTAGTAGTTAAAACTAGCTCCTAACTTGTACATATAAATTGCAGACTCCATAAATTCCATGATGGGTGGTATAACTTGTTTGGTTTGCCCCCAAAGAACAATCCAACCAGGATAGAATTCCGAGTTAACCAATGGACCTAAAAATTAACCAGAGCAAAGGATTTAAACAAACTTATAGATTTTTCTCAGCGCACTTAATTAAGTCCGTTGAAAATTACAATTACAATAATAAAGATTAAAATGAGCAACGGAGGTTCGAGTGGTATGTTACTTCGACTAAACTCAAGCTCAAGCACCATGGATTTCGATTTCAGCGAAGAGAGTTTCACAAAAATAAAATCTGAATAGTGCTTCTGTTCTGCATTCACTGAGTCTAGTGAAAGAATCTCGCCTAACAATTAGTACCGCTCGCTAGGCCAAAAGCTGTAGTGGAAGAGAAGAAAAAGGAATTTTAATCAGGAATTTTAATTTTAACCTTTGTTGGCGAAACGCCGTTGTGCTGCAAAATAGCTGTCGATTTCTTCTATTTTACTAGGCCCAAAATCAATAGTCGGATAAACACCAGGTATTGTCCCACACTTGAGATAGCTATCACCTGGGCCATCAGCTGCAATATCTTTTTTTAGCAAATCTTCGTAAGGATAGAAAGCAAGGATAACTAAAGGTCTTAAAAATGATGAAATTAGCCTTACTCGTGTATTGCACGATATCTTTACCAAAATGTGACTGTATTAAAGCAGACAGCCAAGATGTGTAATTTTGATCACACGCATAATAAGATCCATATTCATTCTCAAGCTGCACCATAAGGACAGGACCACCGTTCTTACGAAGATATGGCACAAGTTTTGGAAGCAGCACATCAAACCACATCTTCACAGCAGTTATATATCTAAAAAGGTTTCAAAATTATGGCATCTAGAATCATGCGATCAGAAGGTTCAAATATGTCGCTCAGCCGAAAAAGATTTCATTTCTCTTTTCGATTTTAATTTAAATTTCATGACATACGACTTTGTGATACTTGCAAAACTTTTAACGACAGAAATGACCAGTGCTGGTTATTATTAAAATAATAATGATATAATTATCTATCATAAATTGCAGTAAGTTTCATCAGAATTGTTCTTTATGCTTTATGTTACACATCAATTCTTAATACGCTTTCTTGTCATAGCAGCTTTCGCAAACAGCGTGGATTTTTGATAGCTGCAGGGAACCTGGTAAATTCCTTCCTCTGCTTTCAATTTTTAAATAATTTCTCGAACACTTTCTCGTTTAGGTATTCTAAGGCTGCAGAAACCAAACAAAACTTATGTGGAACATAATTATGCTTATACGATGGCAGAGCCACAAAGTACCACAAACTATCAAAAAATATATTTTCACAAATAACCTAAAATTTTTACTATTTTTTGCATATTTACACGCAGTGGTATAAAAGACTTACGAAATTATTTACAAAAAGTTGCTAAGTTATATGAAAACGTTGCGAAACAATGTACGAACAGTATGAATTTAACTGTGAAGTAAAATTAGAAATTAAATAACTAAAGCTGTCTGCAAAGAAATTATGCAAAATTTAGAACGTAGTTTCCAATTTTGGACCCTATAATTCACCAAATTTTTCACCTTTTATCATATGTCCTCATTTCAATGTCTTTATCCAGAATAAGCCACCAAGGCAAACCACCATTTTCCCATTCTCCGCAGTTATAGGGACCCAATCTGAAAATTCATAACTTAAATTCGAAAAAAATTATCGGATTATCGTGCACATTATTAGATAATATCAGCAGTCGATTGTAAATTTATTAATATTAATCTAATATATATATTTTGGAACTTGTCTCATATAATGCCCATTCATAAAAAAGGAAGCACTTGTGACTCTTTTAACACCTATTAGCCTAACATGCGTTGGTAGCAAGGTACTCGAAAGGTTGATCTGCAACAAACTGCTTACTTATCTTGATGTCAATAATTTTATATCCTCTTATCAGCATGACTTTTGTAAGAAAAAATCAACTTCTTTATAAATATCGGCAAATCTTTTCCATTGGTCAGCATCAATTGGCAATGGAAAAACAATATCAGTTGTGAACCTAGATTTGGCTAAAGCTTTTGATACTGTTTCCCATAGCAAATTACTGATCACTCTTAATAGTTATGGCATTACAGGAGCTCTTTATAACTGGGTATCAGATTACATAAAAGACCATCACCAAGCCGTACTCGTCAACAACACTATCTCTGACACAAAACCTGTTAAATCTGGCGTTCCCCAAGGTAGTTGTATTGCGCCATTGCTTTTTTTATTATATATAAATGATGTAACTAATGTGGTGCTAAATTCTACTATTTATCTTTATGCTGATGTTTGTTATCCTCATGGTAGATCAGATAGCCTATCTCCACTGCAGAAGGACCTCAATAGAATAGCCAGCTGACTACATGAAAGGCAAATTATCCTTTCCTTTCAAAAATGTAGCGTTCTTCATATCAATTCTAAAGGTTTCAATTTTCCTAATCTTATTATTAATGGCAATATAATCAGTAGAGTCTCACACATTTCCGATCTTGGAATAATCATGGATGGAAATCTCGATTTTTACCTTCACTGCAGGGTAAAAAATTCTCAAAGATACTAAATTTTATTTTTCGTTCGTTTTAGAACAAAACTGAAGACTTTCTTATCAAAATGTACAAAGCGTTCGTTTGGCCATTTCTTGACTACAATGCTACATGTTAAGCGAGATATCGTAAATCAAGTAAAATAATTGAAGGACTCGAAAAATATTTTATACGCGCCTCTCTCCTAATTGCAATTTTAATTGTAAAAGAAAACTTTTACAATATAATCTGGATTCTCTGTCAGTTCGCCGTATTAAACAAGATTTAATTTATACTTATAAGATTTTGTATGGTTATGTTCAATTGTTAGATTGTTGAAAATATTATAATTTTAGGTTAAATTAAAATCCAACAAGAACTAATGGGCTAAAATTACTAAAACCTATGTGTAAAACCACACTAAGGACTCATTATTTCTTTATTCGTAATATTAATTTCTGGAATAAATTACCGAACGACATAGCTTGTGCGCCATCCCTAGCTATTTTTAAAAATAAAATAGATAATATCATTTATGATATTATTTAAAAAGTTCACATCATGCAGGAAGTGTGAAATCTCGATTTTTACCATCCGATTATAGTTATTATTATAGTATATAGAATTGTACTATATTATATTATTTTGCAATTTCCTCTTTATTTCATCTTTAAATTGATTATTTTATTTTATTATTATGTATTTTTTCATTAGACGAAGAAATAAAATATTATTAAGAAAATCCATTATAAGACCAATTGACTTAATAGAAGAAATTTCAGTGTTTAAATTTATTTTTGCAACATTTAATTTAACAATACAATAAATGAAACAATAAATAAATGAAGCTGGTATATGAAACTTTAAATCAAATCAATGGGAATAGCCTTCTGCACGCGCGGTGAGGTATTAGCCGTATCAGAGTGGAATGTTAGAATGCTTATGGATGTTGCAAGTCAAGCGATCAGTGGAATGTTAGAATGCTTATGGATGTTGCAAGTCAAGCGATCACTGTCCACACCCTTTCTAAACATCGTGTGGATATCGCTTGCTTGTCGGAGGTCCGCCTTCTTCACTTCGGGTCTCGAGTAATTGCTAATCCTGGTTCGGAGCAGAGATACTTGCTATATCACGGTGATACATCGAATAACTCGGAAAGAAATAGCGTAGCGATTGTCATGTCTGACAAGAGCCATTTCGCTTTAATTGAGTGAAAACCAGTAAGCGATCGTATGGTCTGCGCACATTTTAAAGGTAAGTTCTGCAATATCTCGGTCATCAGTGTCTATGCTCTAACTCTGTCTGCAAATAACCGTGATAAAGATAAGTTCTATGCGGAACTTCAACGGCAAACAAAGTCTCAATCGAAACATGACATGGTCATGACATTATTGAAGCATCTCAATGATACAAATATCAATGAATTTTCTAGAAAGGCAAATGAATACTGGTCCAAACTAAAGGGATGTCTCCGAA